ATCAGTTCCACCGATGCCCCTCAGCGCTAATATTGCATTCGGTTGAATTAAGCCCCCAACACATCCAGACCTGTTTGATAAATAGAAATTCAATGTTGGGCTGTGCATCATGAGATGTACCAGCAAGTGTCCTGTGTCATCAAGTCTGTGAAACATACAGCAAGACCGTAGAATGTGATGAGAGTCGCTTCAAAGTTGATTAAAACATCCACATAAATGTGCCTTAAAAGTCCACTAGCTCGGTGCTAATATATAATGGAAAACGGTCTAGCTAGGCTAATAAATAGCATTGTGTTATGGTATAATCTTAATCTTATAAAATCTTTGACCAATGGATATTTGAACACAAATGATGCAACAGCAAATTCACCCAAATACTCACTGGTGTATACAGTATTCTTTATCCTCTTTATTATTGCTTTTTTTTTTTAACTGAGTAGAATTTTTATAGAGTGCTATTCTTATTAAAAATCACATCACAAATAATTTGTTATTTTGGCGTGAAACTGGAACAGATCTGGCATTTCAATAATCCATCCATTCATCCATCCATGGAGTGTAACAAGTGTGTTCACAGAATGAACCAAACTCGCATCTCAGGACGCTACTGTCGTCCACAACTTGTGGCATCTCTTTTGGCCAACGTGTATAAAACGTCTCACTTTCAGATTAAATGTATTCACTGAGTTTAGTTTTGATTTAAACTAAATAAATCAATAAATATACCTGTAAGTTGATAAATGGTCTTGTTTACACAAGTGCACAGAGGGATTTTTTCTTCTTCACCATAAAAGCAGGTGTCACAGGTGAATGCAAAATCCCTAAAAGGATGGAATACACACATGCTGTGTGCTCATTAAGTTTCTGGAGCTGTCAGATGAATTTTCTGCCTGTTATACACACATAATTAGGTTTCAAAGTGCTACTCTGTGAATAGTATCAATTATTTTCTTTCACTTCACTTCCCTCCTCGGAGTCAGGTGGATTTATTCACATTTTCTGATATGACAGCGTGTTAATTGAGCCATTAGCTGGAGGTGTGAACGAGAGATGGAGACAAAAAAAAAAAATCTTTGCTTAGGTTCACAAGTGTGTGCATCTGCTCCTTCAAAGGTGTTTTGTATTTCATTCGGATAACACCTGTTAATTAATAACAGCCTGAAATTTCCATGTGCTTCCCTTCCCTTCGAAAACAACTTTGCTGGTGTTTGTCACAAAGCGAGAAGTTGTGCTAGCCCCTGAATGTTACATTTGCAGATTGCTTGTTAAATGGGTATTTCAAGTGTGTTAAAGTTCATCTTGGGATGTCATATCTGTTGCTTTGGATTCACCACGCTTCATTCCAATTAATTACCACACTTTAGCAATCGCTGAACATACTGACTTTATTAAAGTCCCTCATGAAACTTGTTCCACAATAATTGGAATGCGGATAGATTGAACAGCTCATGATTCAAAAACAAACCACGATATGTATCAAATTTGGTGTGCATTGAAATAATGCAATGGTAGGTATGGTTATTAGCATTCAGTTTGTAGTGAATGGAAAATAGGGACAAAAACGGTATGTGAAATCGTAGACATGTTATCCCTGTTGCTCTTGCTCTACTACTTCGTGATCTCTACAATGTCATTTTAGCCGCTTCTGGCGAGATGCACTGCAACCCGTTTGAAGATGTTGGCTACCAACACAATGAGACTTGTGAAAATAGAGTGGTGCCTTGAGATACGAGTGACCCAACTTACAAGTTTTGGGAGATGAGAGCTGTCGTTCGGACAATTTTTTGTGGGGTTTGACTTGTGGGCAAAAATTTGAGATATAAGCACCACGTGGTGGCAGTCAACTCAGTTCACTTTACAACTAGCAGCAGGTTGTCAGATAGTGAACAATTCTTCAAGAAAAGAGGCATCAAGCTGTTTCACTCCCAGTGCGAGTTTCCCTCCAAAAAGCATAAAATGAAGAATTACACGATGTTGACTTAAAAAAGAAAAAAAAACAAAACTTAGCATTCGATCTGCCAGTCGGGTTTATGACTAGCATCCATGTAGCAGTTTTATAAGCTTAACGCAGCTAATATTTCAACAAACTCACAGGCATATATTAGTTATCTTCTGCAAAAAATAAAATAAAATAAAATAAAACGACTACTTTAGCAGCTTACTTGAGACACTTACAGTAGCTGCGAAACTCGTTTTCATTTGTGTCTGCATGACTGTGTTGTTGTGTTCCCTGATTGTGTCCACCAGGAGCCCGAATGAATTAATCGTGATGGGCAAACTGCTTAGTTCTTTACATTCTATTTGATTATGTAATATGCTTTTATAAAACACAATAAGCATCTCTATATTTTCATTGTTTCAATTAGCATTGGAGTCCAAAAAATATTGGTGCGTATGTGGCACTAGCAAATTCTGGAGTGTTACTGATTAAATATCCCTGCTGAGATAGTATCGATCTATCTATTTCTGTGACCGACACATGGCCCCGCTCAACACCACACCCGTCTGCAGGCTTTTGGAAAAATCTTTCAGGGACCTGGAATATGTTGGCACACTAGGGCAGATTGTTTTAACTTGGTTGTGTTTTTTTTAAATTTTTGGTCAACTTAAGGCACTGCATCTATGGCTGGTACTTGCTGGATTTGCCCATTCCTGTCCCACCATTGGGAAGTTAACCCTTTCAAGGACAGCGGTCACTACAGTGGGCAGCTTATCATGTTATCAGGTTACAGGGTGCATGAAAGGGTTTATATATTTCCTATTTTGTGGTTGAAAAAGCAACATGGCGGAGTCGTGGTTAACACGTCTGCCTCAACTTGTGTGTGTTTAACATGTTCTCCCCCAAGCTTGTGTGCATACTTTGTCTACCCCCACATAGGAAAAACATGCATCCATCCATTTTCTACCGCTTATCAGGGGTCGGATCGCTGGGGCAGCAGCTTTAGCAGGGAAGCTCAGACTTCCCTCTCCCCAGCCACTTCTTCCAGCTCTTCCTGGGGGATCCAGAGGTGTTCCCAGCCAGCTGGGTGACATAGTGTCTCCAGCGTGTCCTGGGTCGTCCCCGGGGCCTCCTGCCGGTGGGACATGCCCAGAACACCTCACCAGGGAGGCGTTCAGGGGGCATCCTAATCAAATGCCCGAGCCACCTCATCTGGGCTCCTCTCGACATGGAGGAGAAGCGGCTCACTCTGAGACCCTCCCGGATGAAACTTCTCACCTTATCTCTAAGGGAGAGCCTGCACACCCTGCGGAGAAAACTCATTTCGGCCGCTTGTATCTGGGATCTCATTCTTTCGGTCACGACCCATACCTCGTGACCATAGATGAGGGTTGGAACGTAGATCGACCAGTAAATTGAGAGCTTTGCCTTTTGGCTCAGCTCCTTCTTTACCATGACAGACCGATACAAAGTTTGCATCACAGCAGACGCTGCACCGATCCGCCTGTTGATCTCTCGCTCCCTCCTGCCCTCACTCGTGAACAAGACCCCAAGATGTTAGGTTAATTGAAGCCCCTGAATTGTCCCAAGGTGTGAGCGCAAGTGTGAATAGTTGTTTGTCTTGATGTGCTCTGTGATTGGCTGGCGACCTGGGTGTACACGCCCAAACTCAGCAGGGACAAGCTCCATCTCACCCGCGAACCTAATGAGGACAGGCTCGTTATAAAATGGATGGCTAGTTTTAACAACCATCTGCAGTTGAAGTCTGTGATTTTACCATCCATGTGTTCAACCTGCATTGGTCAATTTTCCGCTCTCCCACTGCGCATAGTATGTTCTTCCCGACACACTGATTTATTTGTCAAGGTCTTGATGGATCAGGCCCACCAGCAGGGCGCATTCACATTTGCTCGATACCGCTGACAATGGGATTTTTTCATGTGGTGAGGCAATGGCCAGAAAGAGAGTATGACTGACCATTTAGTTGCACTAGGTTTGAATGCATACAGAATTATGTATGTCCTGAAAAACATACCAAATGTAAGGCAAAAAAGCTTATAGAGGCATCAATCTCATGAGATTTCTGAATGAATTCAAGCGCAAACGATAAGGTAGAAGAAACAAAGTCGCTAATGACGAGACACTACAGTATTTGAATTTTTCATCCATATTCACTTTTACTCCAAAAGAAATAGGGAAATCCTTGCTTTTATTCTCTGAGTTCATGTTTTAATTCAAATATAAGCACTGTCGGTCAAATATCTTTTTCTGTTCTATTGGACACTTACTCTGGTGTAAAATGTCGCTGGTGAACCAATGGGCTCAAATCAAATACGTTTTAGTATAGGACATAAATAATAAAACAATATAGGGTTTGCAACTGAAATTGATGCTCATTATAATGTATGAAAGAAATTTGAAAAATAAACAAGAACACTGTACACAGAGAAACTTTCTTCAGTTCATTAAAATATTTCCAAATATTCATATCTAGAATCATTATTCAAGTGTAGACATAATTTCCTAATTTTAACCAAAGAAAGAGGTAAATTATGCGTGCGTGTATCGCAGGCCTTCTCCCCTGTGGTTCATTAGAAGCAATGGAATTCAATGACCCAGAAACTAAACCTAGTCCAAATCAATTAGCAGCAGACATACACATGCATACATTTGAGTTGCTAATTACAAAGGCGGGCTCCGCCTCGCAAGGAGGGGTTTCATCTTTGAAGAGCCATCAAATTGTGTATGATGTTATGCAAAATAGAATATTTTGATTGGCTTCAGTGGTTTGATGTGTTTGAGGTGACAGTATGCGATGATTAATGGTTGGTTATTTTGGAACAGGTTGCAAGGTTTGCATGACACAGCTACTAGTCGACCTTATTATTTTGGTGGAATAGAAACAAACTTTCGAAAATGTTACCGAATTTCTCAATCAAGAGTCCGTTATCAGACCCTCACGAGGGTCGCGGGCGTGCTGGGGGCCACCCTATCAAACAATGAAAATAACATGCTGGCGCATTTGTGTACTGTCTCTTTAAGAAAGTAGCAGGCAGCCTGCTGTGGAAGCGCTGGTCAGGAACTGGCCAGCAGGAGCGACACTTGGGAAGGAATCCCCAAAACTTTCCCCAAAGTCTTTACCTGTCCATTACGCGTCGCTTCCAGTTCATTCGATGTGAAAACGACGCGCAATCAAGTGACGCTGAGCGATGAAGTGGACGTCACCGAGGGCTTGGAGAAAGGAAACATGAGCAGAGGGGGGGCAAAACTTGTGGAATGATGCCTGAGCGACTGCACGTTTTCCTACAAAGTTCAGCTAAGGTAGCTAACGTGAGCTAGCTCGGGAGTCGGGCTGCTGAAATCGGATGGGAATGTTTTGAAATGATGCGAAACTCCACATTTCTAACACGTTTCTTTCGACTAGTTCACGGGGAGACCAGCAGTTACGCATATACATGTTGCGCTTGTAACGGAATGCTGCCTTGCTGGGCTTGTTACGTTAGCGCTGCTAGTTTCCACCTTACGAAGCTAATATATTTAGCTAAGTGACAGCAGATGATACCAACATCTGCCAAGGCAACTTCAGAGAACATTGGACAATATTGTGCTGTGAAATGTCACAAAAATAACCTGCACTTAAAGTCAAACGGTACAAAAAGTCACTGAGACGCAATCGTCTGCCACCAATAAAGATGTGAAGGTTAAAAAAGTGACCCATAGAGAATAAAGAGTGCAGTACAGTGCAACGATGTTTGCTAAACTTTCTTGAGCCATGGCACCCATTTTGCTTTTGAAAGATGACTTGAGAATACAAAAATTATATTAATCACATGACAGAAAATACTTTATGGGCTGAAGAATCAAATTTTGAGCTTTTTGGCCATAATTTCGAAAGATATGTTTGGTGCACAATATTTTGTTATAATATACCATTCTATTATGTACTGTATAGAATATAAATAACTAAAGCAGTTGCTGACACGTTTCAATTGAGGTGTGCTGCCATAATTTTATTTCGTCACAGACAAAATACATGCTTGTTAGTATTGTTATTTTACAGTATCTGTCTACAGGTGAAGGCGGTCCAGTGGTTAGTGTGTTGAACTCACAGTGCAGAGGTCATGGATTCGATCCCGGCTCTGGCCTTCCTGTGTGGAGTTTGCATGTTCTCCCCGGGCCTGCGTGGGTTTTCCCCGGGTACTCCGGTTTCCTCCCACATTCCAAAAACATGCATGGCAGGCTGATTGATCACTCAAAATTGTCCCTAGGTGTGAATGTGAATGCGGATGGTTGTTCGTCTCTGTGTGCCCTGTGATTGTCTGACAACCAGTTCAGGATGTCTCCCGCCTACTGCCTGAAGACAGCTGGGATAGGCTCCAGCACCCCCCACAACCCTTGGGAGGATAAAGCGGATTGGAAAATTGATGGATGGATGTCTACATGTGTCACTGCACCTTTTGTGTTATAATATCTGTAGCTCAAGGGGTCATGCAGCACTGATGATTTTTGGTAGTCCATCCATGGCGTTTTCCCATTTTGTACAGTCTTAGCATTAAGCTAGCAGACTTAAAGCCGTTTATACGTTTGTCTCAAATACTGTACAAGTCTTTGTTTAAAGTTTAGTTTGACTGTAAACTTCACCCCAGAGGGGCAGTTAATGGCTTGAAGCCTCTTTTTGGAGAATTGTTTGTCTTCCAACTGCTGCTTGTTGTGAAGTGAGTTGAGTTCACTGCCCCCACGCAGCGCTCGTATTTTGAATTTTTGCACGCAAGTTAAAGCAGAGAAAATCTTGAAACGCTGCACCACTTTTCAGTTAGTAATTTTTACTCCCCTCAAGAATGTCAATCGAATTGTGCAGTTAGGTTATAGGTCACTATATGATGGAAAAACATTTGATTTATTTTGGATCGTTTTTGTACATCAGTAATCATTTGAACAAGTTGTGTAAACCTTTTACATCCCCCGTATTATATTTGATGCTGTTTAACCTGTGGCTTTAAAAGTCATGGTTCCCCATTTTAAACATCAGACACAGTGTTTGTCAGAAGTATTGTGACGTGCCAACTCTCATTAGCTCAGGTCATTTTGCTCAGCATTTATGGTTCCATGTACACCACGACTCACTGACATTTTCTTCCACTCACTGTGTGCTTGCTTCCCCCAGGCTTCCAGTGTTCTGTTCGACCACTCTGCAGTTTTATCCACTACGACACAGCTCTCCTGCCATCACCTAAAACCTCAGGGAAGAGTCCCACAATGAAAGTGACGGTGACATTTGGACAGATGGGTGTGGTGGTTCCTTGTAAAGAGGGATGGACTGTGAGGGATCTCATCGAACAAGCCACCCTGAGATACAGAAAACTGCTCGAAAAGGTACTGTCAACTTGGAACTTGCTCGCTGTATCATTTTAAGCATGGTCATGAGATTTAGCAACTGTTCTAAATAAATCCCTTCAAATGTGACTGCAACTCTTCATTTATTATTTCAGTATTTCAATTAAAAAGTGAAAGACTTATTCATTACACACATAGAAAAATGCTTCTTAGAATCTTTAATTTCTATACCAAATATCGGTTTGACTGATTTAGTTTCTTGAGGTGGTGAATTCGAGATTCTCTTTTTCTCTAAACAGTCATCAAAAGTATTGGATTATTATAATTGTTTTTAAAAACATGAAATGTTCCACTGTGGCCAAATTCACTTTATAAGTGACAGGGAAGTGTGACACTCGACACTACATGCAAAGTATTCCCGGAACTTCCCTCTAAAGTATTTTTCAAATAAACTTTTGATGCCTTTAATGAAAATAAAGTAATACTTTTAGTACAGGACTATAAATCAATAACTTCATTTGCTGATGTAATTGGCGTGAGTTCCTCTGCATTATTCACAATAACTTCCGTTTACGGCATCTGGTTGCATGTGTTACTTCACTTTCTTGTTTTTACATGTCAAAGCAATGAAATCTCACAGGTTGTCATTTGATTAAAAAGACGAACAGAACAACTGACTTTGTTAGACCAGCGTGGGATATAATTGTGTTAAAGCCGCACTCTTAAAATCTATTCATCCTGAAATTTACATATATAAAGTGAAGTGACAGTGCCTGTGTGCAAACAGCAAAGTAAAAATGTTTTGAATCTCAATGAGGAATGATTAAATTACAAAAATATGTGTTGCATGCATTTAGTCTGTGGTCTCCTTGGACATTCTACCTGGCTTGACTGACCCATAACACAGCGGTGAGCTATTGTACATGCTTGTGGCGAATGGGATGAACTATGTCCAAAAAGATTTTTTATGACAGCAGAGATGAATGAGTCACTTTAGTGTCTTGCAGTAATGTGTATTGTAGGAGATAGGATGGACTATGTTAGGTCACTCACCTGATGTGTCTCCTGCACTCATATGTCTCCAGTTGTCAACTAGTACAGCTGCAAAAATAATATTGCAGGAGCAATTACGAGCAATACACTTTCATTGGGATTGTTATTGCTGACTCTGAATCCCAATTTTTTTTTCATATCATCTGGAATCCAACCGTTGACTACCACCAGCATCTATGTATTCGTCAGTTATGTTTTTCAACGGGTAAGAGGGCCTTGTCCAGCTTGTCTGTGAAATTCAGGTAGGGAAACAGTTGAAACCCTGTAGATGGTGGTGTTGCATTGCTTTGGAATTGAGATCAGCAAAGCCTTGGGTGGAGGACTAAGATTAGGGGAGTGGGGGTGGGGGGCGGGATCTCGGCTTGTAATGTCAACCATGAGGCAGACAAATTCCAACACAATCGAAGTCGGACAAGTTTAGGCACCTCACACTTGAACAATGTATGTATGTAGATAGTATGAACAGTACTGTATGTTGTGGTAGCTAATATAAAGTGTTGATTGCCATCGTGAGAAAAGATGGAGTGAATGAGGAACGGTAAAGTGGAAATATTAGCGTCAAAGTCAGCGTTCAATTTGTTTTCCCCAAAAGTGTGTTTTTTCCGCTTTGTGGTCAGTAACCGTTGATTTTGATAGAACCAACCCTTGGTCTACTGCTGATTACTAAAGATTGAAATAAGGTAGAAAACAAATTCAGTGCTTACAGTATATTACCACAGAACAAAATAGTTAGCCTTGAAAGACAAAAAATGTTCAATAAACATCTGGCCATATTGGAACTCTTATTTGAAGATGGCCGGCAGTGAATGAGGTCATGACTAAATAACTGCAAATGACATTTTTTATTCCCCATACCTGACAATATGTGTGGCATACACAAATAGATTCCTAACAAGCATATACAAGACATTTTTCATTGGCCCGAGGCTATTTCAAACTCAATGTTTATTGATTTCAAAGACTACAACGAGAGGTCCATTTGGTTGGAATCACATTTCAGCCATCACATTTATTGTCAGTTTTATAATAATAACAATGTTTATGAACAACAGGAAGGCTGATGAAAGTAGCTTTTTTTTTTTATGAAGCAACATAACTTTCGAATATTGAGCGTCCACAGCCCCCTCCCACCTTCTGAAGCCATACAATTATTAACATCGTTGTCATTTTTAATATTGTAAAAGGACTCTATGATTTCCACATCGGAAAGTCTCCGCCAAAGCCACAGAGGTCCAGCTCTCCGTAATTGCCGCATGAAAAATTGAACGCATATCTGATTTGAATTGCGATGTGCCAGACAGGAGGCTGCATGACTCGTTTCCGCTTAAGTTGTTAGTCGGTGTAAAATGCAAATGTCTCCCTCCCGTGATTCCTTTTGTTGATTCCCTGTGGTACTCTCGGGGCAGCAATCCTGCTCCTCCCATCAGATAACCAAATCTCCTCAGTGAACTCCTAAATACCGGCTGGTATTTAAACAGCACAGCAAAGGCGGACGTACGGCTGCATGGCCTCAGTAGGACTCAGTAGTGAGATGTCCACACAGTGTGTTTAATCTCTTCCCCTCTGTTTTAGCCTCGTCATGTCTTTTCACCTATCTATATATCAACCCTCTATACCCAGTGCTCCCATGTGTTTTGCCCCGTCATACTATTTATCATCCTTTCTTTTTCTCTAGTGTACCCTTCAATTTCTATATAGCCTCAATGGTTGCCCCCCCCCCCCACCACTCCCCGCCCCCCTCATTTGAACTCTGATTCGTCCTTAAATACGAGTTGGTAAGATAACAGTGTGCTACGTCTAATTAGAGATGATAAGCACATTTATGATTAGGTCCTAATATGGATGGGCATTTCACTTAATTTGACTATGGGCTTAATTTGTAGTCAAGTCAATTAGTGGCGGGCCGGTGGTCGAGTGGTTAGTGCATCGACGTCACAGTGCAGAGGTCGTGGGTTCGATCCCGGCTCCGGCCTTTCTGTGTGCATGTTCTCCCCGTGCTTGTGTGGGTTTCTCCGGGTACTCCAGTTTCCTCCCACATTCCAAAAACATGCATGGCAGGCTGACTGAACATTCTAAATTGTCCCTCGTTGTGGGTCTGAGCGCGGATGGTTGTTCGTCTCTGTGTGGCCTGTGACACAGCTGGGATAGGCTCCAATCATGCCCCGCAACCCTTGTGAGGATAAAGCGGATCGGAAAATGGATGGATGGATGGAATTCATCAATTAGTTGCCCTTTTTTCCTCCATGTATTATTTCAGAATGTTCTTAATTCCTGTTTTGATGCGAGTTTTAATAGAAACAAACTAGTTCCGATGGAATCAACGGTGCTATCTTACGTATGGATTTCATTCTCTCGAATGACCGACGACATAAACAGAAATCCTCTCATGCGACACTAGGCCTTTTTCCTCAACAAACACAGGGCTGTGAGATTCAAATGCAGCGACATATGTATACAGTATCCTCACACAGTACTCCCTCGTGTCAAACAGCGCAAGCAGATCAAACTAAAATGCACAACACCGGTCATGGAAGATCCAATTCCAAAGTCCCGTGTTCACAGAAAGCTTCTCAATAATGGATGAGTCCTATCAAGCTAGTGAAAATGGCCCACAAACAGGAAGTAGAACCCTACCCTGAAAAAACAACAAAAACAACAATGGTGCTAAAACTCGATTCATACTTTGTAGGGGTATCTGCACTTATCCAAATGCCTTGTGGCTTTCGCTTGCCACTATATTTTGACAGAATTATTGGTCAAACGTTAAACTTTACGACCTGTTTTGATGTGTGAACTTAAAAATAGCACTAAGTAGTGAATAATAACAGTTGTTTTTGCTCCCTGGCTCCCCCAACATGACTCGAAGTGTAATTTTTAAGCCGCTTTGGCAGCTTGAAGCTGAGGAAAGTCCATGGCCAGAAGCTCAGGCAGCTGCGCCATTGAACAAATGTGCTAACCGTGAACAAAACCTGTCAACAGCACAACACCATTTGTCGAAATAGCATTTGTGGTAAAGTAAACACCAACCCCGCACTAAAACAACGAGATGTGGACTGTAATGTATTAGATCCTGGGTTGCCATCATAAGTTGAGCTTTGCAATCAAAATGCTGTTAGTGGTTCAGCTTGAACTTGATCTGGCTGTCCCGTAAATGACTTCTGATGAAAGTAAAAGCAGCATGACACTCTTGTGGAATGTAATATTTGAATATTTCCTGCAGGCTTCAATGTGTGGAGCTTCTGAACACGACTTGGCGGTTCTCCTTGGAGGTGTTTTTAATAATTTATGGTGCACCGGTAATTTTATATTCTCATACATTTTTAAATCCTTGCAGTATAATTGATATTATTATTATGCCTGATCAGTGTAGACTCTGATTTGTGAGTTACTTTTTTTGGGATTTCCGCCACAGCAGCTGCATTTTTGCCATCCTGTAAATGTTCCCAGAGACGGACATTTCTCCAGGTGTGTTTTCCTGCAGCTGCATTTAATGGCCTCACTGTCTCTTGTATTGATTAAATCTCAGGTACTAGTTTTCTCCCTCCCTTGGTGAATGTTATGCCTTGTTAAGCACATGTACATGTCTGTGTTGGCAACATTTTTGCAGCGTTTTTGTACAACAAGTGTTCAGTCTTACTTAAGACCCTTTTTAAGTGGTGCAGACCTTGTTGAGCTTTCACCATTTTCAACTTGGGTATTGTATTTTTTCCCCTCCATTCCCCCTGTATGGAATAAAGTATCAACTCTCTTATGTTTTGTCCCTCTTTTTTTCCTCTTATTTTCACTAATGTTCTTGCTGTATATATAATCTTTAGTTTGTTTCTTAATCTCAATTGATGTTTCCAGGGTGTTGCTGTGTGTGTGGATGCACTGTCCATCCTCCGATCCCTCCCGGCTCTATGCAAATATCTTTCGAAAAAAGTCGCCGAGACAGCTCGCCTGTTGTTTGTTTATTTCCATGACATCTGCTTCTGTGATTCATCATACTTCAGAGTATTTTTTAAGCTCGATCCAAAATATCCCCCACCATCCCTCCGCCCCTCTCCACATGCTTCCTTGTGGCAGACATTAACTGTCTTACTAATCTGCTACATTGTTAGTCACTCTAACTCCAGGACTGTAAAAGCAACTTTGCTTTTGGACATTTGAATGCGGTGGAATAGGTCGTCACTACAGTGGTGTTTGCGTGGGTTTGGATTCCTTAAAATGTACACTGACTGAAGTGAACTTCTGACGTACAGTATATTCTTCTTATATAAATTGAAAAAGTTAGAAGGAAACTTTAAAAAAAAATGGAATGCCTGACAGGTGGTGGAAGAACTGCAAAAGTTATTCCAAATAGTGGTAATATATACAGAAGCATAATGGAGTCAATTAATTCCACAGCAGAGATGATGAATGTTATATGCCTTTAGATGAAAGATTGGCTGGAAGGTGCAGAGTTGGTTTTTCTGGGGGAGTTGCCAGGAAGTTCATTGCTTGTTGGCACACTTCTTAATTACCGTCATCCAGCAGATAAGATGCTGGTTGTGTGCTATTAGAGGCTTTTATCTAACTGGCTTAGCTTTGTTGGCCAATTTCAGTGGCCTGAAAGTGTCTTTTACAACTTTAGTTTACGTATGTCACAGTATACAGTATCTACAGGTGTTCTTAACATTAGATTAATGAGGTCATATACTTTGTTAGGGTCCTGGACTATGTAAGATGAACATCGTTAATTGGAATTGGAACAAGAATACATTTTATTTATTTATTTTTGGGCTGTAATGGTATGAATCTAATGCACTGATTTTTCACTGCGGCCGCAAGAAGATATTCCAGGAATACTTTGTTGCCCAAGCAACCTGTCTATTTTATATTGGTCTTCCTCGATCTAATAGTAAAATTTGGGGTTTGAGCTAACGCTGAATGACAACTCACCATGTGGCACTGGGTCATGAAAAGATGAGTTGTCTTGTGAACAATGGTGAGTAATGGTTACCGTGTCTTTTTCCGACCTCGTAGCCCTTTGTTTCCGTGCCTTGATTTTCACAGAAGACGCACTTTGTCAAAGATAGGTTGTGCGACGGTTAATCACCAATTCAACATTTCCTTCAGGCATGTTCCGTATTTATTAGGGCACCTGAAAGCTACTGTTCTACAGTCGTGATGTGGATAGTTGAGACTTGCTCTCAGAAAATCCTTTGCCTCTGGAGTATTCTGAAAACCACGTATTTAATGAGATACAACCATGTAACATTTTGATTCATACATGCTCTTTGGTTTGTCATGATTCATGTGCACGCATGTGAGTGCATGGTATTTGCCAGCTTGTGTGCTGTGGCACAATGTTGTTTAACAACCAACTACAACCAACTATGTGTAGGCGGCTGTCCAATGCAGCATCTCTGTCATCAATCACAGACCTAACGCTGCGGATAAAAGGAGTGGGGCGGCAGTGTGAATAGTTCAGGATGGTAATAATAATGGTAATCTATTGTAGTTGTCCAGCACAAGATGCCAAATATCCAAATGAAGAAACAATGGTGAGAAGTATGAACATAGGAGAGTGGAGGGAGGAAATACCTCGTTTTTAATCTTGAATTTTCAGTAAACCTGCGGACCTGTCATTCAAAACAAAGCAAATCTTAATTATGACAAACAATGCTAAGATGAGCAAGGAAAGTTGTGTAATGAATTGACCTGAGTGTGACTTTTTTTTATTTATTTTTTTTACACACAACCTGAAGTCATGTTTTGTTTAAAGTAAGAATAATAATAAAAACAGTGCAACATAAATGATAAATGTGTGAAATACGGCAAACTACTCGCAACACAAACACATGTGACAAGGATTAAGGTCCTTATTTCTTTATTAATTAAATGCATTGCGCTACGCAATGCATTCTGGGAACCGAAAAGGAAAGTTAAAAAAAAAATTAAACCCATATATTTTCACTTGTCCCCTGCTATTTGTGGAGGATACGGACCAGGTTGGATCGTAAGTACTGAAAATGCACTTATAATTTAAAAGTATTGGGGGAGGTTTCATTTTTTTCATCCATTTATGCATTTGAGCTCTAGTTCCAACCTTTATCAACTGGAATGTGTTTCCAGTTATCAAGGTAGCCCATCCCTTTCGACTTGGGGTCAGAGGCTCAGATGAATCACCGTTCAATCCCAGGGAAGAAAAATTCCACAATAAAGAGTTATTTTCTTTTCACCGGGTTGTGTCATCTTTTTCTATCAATTGTATTGCTTCTTTTCTTGAAGCTCACGTGGAACTTTTTTTTTTGTTTTGATCCCTCAAAATATTGGAGTATTGGAGAATTGAATGAAATTGCACGACTGAACAATTCAACTCGGAAATCCGAATGTTTGAGTCTTACTCAGTATACAGTATACACTTCTATTCAAGATACATAGATTGCATCTTGACTTGCATGCGTTTTCTCTTTTGTTGCATAGGAAGGGGAATTCGTGGTTCGGACACACCATGTTGAATACTGCGATGGAGGGATTCTTGACCCTGATGATATACTGAGTGATCTTGTGGAGGACAAGGACAAGGTAAGAACTTGACATTATAGGCTCAGCAGCAAAATGCAAATGTAATGGTCGAACTTGCCTTTAGCTTTTTAAGACTTAACATTTCACTGATGAGCACCAAACCCATACTGCCCAAGCTTCCTCTCACAAGTATGTACTTTTCTTCCTAGATGTTTTATCATATCATACCCTCTGCAAATGATCCGGTTTAAGGGCTTCTCCACTGACATACTATCTTTCTTTCTTTCTTTCTTTTTGTTTTATGTATGTATGTATGTATTTTTTTATTTCATAATCCATTCTCCAGTAATAAACAAGGTTGCATCTACTGTTACATACATATCACACAATGTTCCTTCATTATATTACTTTGCAGCTTCCAACTGTACGTCTTCAGTATTTATTCATATGAAATGGTTTCTAGGAGCTCATTAAAATTCATAATTTTTGTAGCTTTTTTCATTACCTTTTATAGAAGCTTTTTTTTGGAAGCATTTTCCTCCTACTCCACTAGTGAACTGGATGTTGCGAAGGTAACAAGCTTAAAATAGGAGGGTTATGCACTAGACTCAAACTTAGCCACACAGTAGCTGTCAGCCCACACCAGTAGGTGCTAGTTCAGGCTATAATTTACATAATGGTTTTCCCTCACACTGAAGTTCCACTCGTATTGCCTTTCCCTTAAAGTTATCTTTTTTTTTCTTCTTCTTCTTTACTCCCTTGAACTCTGCTACGCTTCAGACCGAAACTCTCCCTCTTCAGTTTGCTTTGTGGACATTTCCTATCAGCTCCTTTATTATTGAAAGATGACATTCCAAAAGGGACACACTGTTTTACATTCCAGCTCTAGCATGATTCAGTTTGCCCTTCCACACTGCTTCATACTCGACACATTGCTTCCAAAGCTAAGCACTTTGTCACTGTGGCGTTCTTTGCTCTTTTGATGTTAATTAACGTAGTTTCCAACCCTCCTGATAAATCATCATTTGTGACGAAAGATGCCGAAAGATGTTCATGTTGAAAATCTGATTAGAGTATATATTTATACATACAGTATAGTATTTCCGCCCGTTTTCCACATACTGGCGGTTTAAGTCAAACAAAGTATTGTTTTATTTTGCGCTCGCCAAAATTGAGCAAATTATTCTAACTCAACAATATGTTTGTTTGCCTCTTCCACTAACACTTCAAACTTCAAAGTTCTCTTCGTAGATACGGTCCTCATCCACGTGCTCACTGAAGACAACCATCAGAGCGACCTTCAGCGCAAACCCCTCTTTTAAGTTGGCTGCTCCCCACCACTTTTACACCTGTTACCAACAGCACCCGCAATCTTTTAGAGTTAACTTAGATCTAAGTAAAATATCACAATCTTAGTAAATCACACACAACACGGTCACCAGCAACACACAATCTGTTACAACAGACAAGCAATTTTGTGCCCGCTATTTGGGATATTAGTAAATTAGACCAATATGTTCGCTTTCTCCAGTTCATTTGGTTATGCATGTCAATGCTTATATATCTTGGCCTGTTGTAGGACTGGGCCACATCAGCGTAAAAGCAGTCTCAATATCTGTGTGCGCTTACACACAGAATGCATCTCTCCATTACCATGTATTCTGAGTTAAGTGCACACACTGTGCCATATTCATTTATATATGATATATAGATGACACGATTTTACACGCTGTGATTTTTTTTTTTATGGTCTAGGGCGCTTTGGTACTTGTTAGCACTCTCTGAGGTGACGTGTGCACCGTTATTCACAATTACTGCGTAATTGTATACTCACATGGCAAACTACAACAAGGCTCAACAGGAATAAGCATGCAAGGCACGGATATTAGCTGCCGGCGACATGCAGGCCGAAGGCATTTCATTTGCATGTTGCATACCCGAGCTTGTAAATTGCATTTTCTGTTAACTTTAATTTTTGGTCATCATTGCTATTTCCTAGCATTGCCGCTGATGCTATTTTGAGTCCATGTCAACCACCCGAAGCGATGACTACTGAATACTAGAAACAAAGACAAAAAAACTCTTTCCTGAGTTGAGATTCCATCTCTCATAGCAAGTAGATTCTGAGATGTTTATTTTTCTATCGTGTAATGTCAGCTTTCTAAAGTTAAGTGAACGAACGTGAAAGACAAACACTCTAAGGTTTCTGTCACACACCCAGTGTACGGCTATGCAAACACTTTCTTGGTCACCTTTGCCATCTCGGGCCCTCCACGTGAAGTGGCCAGCCGGTAGGAATAATATTGACCTTGGATTAAAGAAAACAGTGTACCTTATTGCTTTCACACTTTGGAATGGTTTCATTTACAGAGAATCGTAGTGTGTATGTTATGTAGGGGCTGCTAACATCTATACACATTTTTGGTGCACGTTTGTTGTGGCATTCAAGTCTTTTTTTAGCCCTTTTTCAAGGCTAAAACTACCTTGTTCTCATTTTATGAATATGTATAAGAGCAAACAACAATTTTTAAACCTTTTATCAACCAACTTCAGCTACTGATAGAATGATACAACATAATCTCCATTACAAATAACTACCAGTCCTTTGAAATGTACCGTTTCTCAGTGTGTTTACCTAATAGTGTTCTTTGCAGTAACCATGCTGTTCTGTTTAATTTCTTTACATGGGACTCTGATGCCATGTTTGACATTTGATGCTTCTTGACAGTGTTTCCATTTCATCATTTTGATGTCCAACTGTAGTTGGAGGTCCTTGTTCATGGCGGTAGGCATATACAGTATCTGGCTGGAGAAGGGGTTAAATTAGGGGCGTCAAACTCATTTTTGTCGCGGGCCACATTGAAGTGACCCTTTTCCTTGGACGTCCATTATGACTGTGAAAGCATTTCAAGAAGTCAAGAATAATGGTTGATTCAACGATTGTTGAAGTTACTGTAATGAAGGGTTTGGTAACAAGAAAATGTTTATAATATCTCTCTTATTTATTACATCGGATAAGTTGAAATTTTGGTCCAGATTTTCACAATCATAGTAGAAGTCGACATGTTCCATTGGCTTTCCCGGGCCACATAAAATGATGTGGCGGGCCAGATTTGGCCCCCGGGCCTTGAGTTTGACACCAGTGGATTAGATGTTAGTTCTTAAGAAGGATAGAGGGGCCTTGGATGATCTACAATATCTGGAATCATTTATTAGCTGTATTCTGAATTATATTTGATGGGGCTATGGCCCCATTCGTAAATTATATTTTCACTGGCTCATTTATCAGGACATTTTTTCAGAGCTACTTTAATCTTCCTGTATCTTGTACACATATTGTGTACATGTGGATCTGAACTACGGTGATGCACACTGTGATTTATCATATCAATTATTCTTTGTTAGTAATTGGAATGTACTCATGCACTGCCATATGTTTAAAAAAAAAAAAAGGAGATCCCCCATACTGGCAAGATGTTCTCGAGCTGTTTCTGTTCTTAATCAGCAGTAGAACATGAGCTGGCTCACCAAAAACACGAGTTTCTGACCAAATCGTAGAGAATACGAGCTTTTTGTGAAAGGTAAGACAGTGACTATGATGCTGATGTTTTGTGCTTTATGTGACACCTCCAAACGTTTGATGGCAAAATCATTTATTTAGCCGTAATTTATTTAGACAAGTCAAAACTCACCCCTAATCTTTATCCTCACGTTACAGTGGTTTACAAACCTGAATTTCACAGACAAGCTGGGCGAGACCCACTCCCGCGCCTGCCCATTGAAAAACATGCTCGACAAATACATTTTTTGGTGATGCTAAAGGGTTGGAAATCCAGTTGTCAAATCGTCAGTGAATGAGTTAGGCAAATTCAAAACAAAATATTTAACATTTTAAGAAATGTTAGAATGTAATAACATACGTTATGTAGCGTAATGATCTCGCTTTGATTTTTGTTCTAAAACAAAATGATGATGGTCTACCTTCAAAATTATTATCAGTGAGTCTTCAAATGTGCTTTTGAAGCAAAAATGAAAATGGTTTTCTGTTGTCTCTGCGCTGCCAAGTTGCCAACTCCAGATTCGGGGCTTTGCTTCCCGCAATGTCCCGTGATATTTGCTGCATGGATTATGTCACCAAAAACATGTCTACTTAGTATCCTGAGACAACAAGGACATCAAACAAAAACACATTGATCATCAAACTACCGGTAATCTATTTGAATCATGTTATTTGATCACCCCTCCGAATGAATCGTCAGTGACAGCCTTAACACTAGTTGGTTTGTATTTTTACGACTTGTCCATTAACTTCCTTCCTGTATCATGACTGACAGATGGGTTAATTATATAAGTGACCAGTTCTTTATCATCTTGCTTAACAAACCCCACTTTCAGACACTTCATTACAATAGTTAATCATCACGATGAATCCATGAGGATGTGAGCTTCATCATAAACACACACACACACACACACACACACACCTATTTCCCGATTTCCTGCATCCATCAATTATGGTTGGACCTCAGGTGGAGCTGTGTTTCCTTAATTAAGAGTTAAGGTCCATGAAGAGTAGGGGCTTCATCGTTTATTATACTCATAATTAACCGTTTCCTTTTCACCCTATCAGCTTCTCACTCGGTTTCATTTTAATCACCCTGTTAACCCCTTCTCCTTATCACTTAAAATCAATCTCCCATCGCTTGTTGATTGGCTCCTTCTTGCTGTCACCTTGCACCCATGGCACACACAGTGTCCCTATCAAGCGCGCATTTGCCTCTATTTCGCGATCTCCTCCTCACTTCTTTAATTACCCACCTCCCAGTGTGTTTCATTCCATTCACACCAGCAATTAACCCCTTTTTCCTCTTGCCCTCTCCTGCTTCGTCTCCTCATATGCTCTTACAAATTGCACCTATTTGTCTCGTTCGTACTCCCTTAATGCACCTATTGCCGCTGTTTCTTAATCTCTCCGGCTTTCTGGCTCATTCTCCTGTAGAGTAAACGCCTTGACTCAATTAACCCCCTCCCATGGTTGCTAGCTAAAGGTCAACATATGTATCAGGACTGGTCACATCAAGATGTGACTCAAACATGATTGAATTCATTAGAAGATGCGGTAAAAGAGATGACGAATGAGGTAAGAGACGAGGGGGGGGGGGGGAACTTGGTGAGGAGGCCAAAGCATGACCAAATGCGAGCAGGTGATTTAGGATATGGAGAGAGAAATTACTTCCTTAACTCATTCACTCCCAAAGACGTTCACTTTTCAGACTTGGTCCAGAATTGGCTGGTACTGAATGAGTGAATCAAATTATGTAGAATGAAGCAGCCAAAACACGGAAGTTGAGGTAGAGCGGCGACAAAAAACTTGATTTATTGCAAATAGGAATGTTTATCTAAATTTTTGTCTGTACAGGATTCATGACGGTCACAATATAAGTAAGTGGTTTGGAGTTTCCAAACTCAGCGCAATGAACTAGTTGGTGCAGCGGCATAAAGTGTTGTGAACTAAGGTTGGGTATCATTTCAATTTGGAGGATACCAGTTCAGATTCCGCTTCTTTGATTCAGTTCCGTTTCCTATTTTCACTTCTGATTCTTTTTTTTGGACGAAATTGTTTGAACTTTAATAATTCAAACCTATGAACCTGAATTATTCACAGGAGAGATTGGTTTTTAAGTACCTCAAAAAATACACGACACATTTGCAGCAGGTACTCAGAGCATGCTACTGAACACAAAAACAAACAAACAAACAAACACAAAAGAAGCATTTGAGGAGGACACAAGTAAACTACATCTAATGTAAGCAGTCTACTAAAACATATCAGACCTGTTCTGTGAAAAACACATATGTCCACTTTTGTCATTTAAACTAAAACTTTTTATGTTCAGGAGGTGTTCGCATTTTTTGTATGCTGTATGTGTACAGGACAGTGTGACGTTTGTTCTTCTATGATAAAGAAAGCTGCTTTGAGCACACAGTTGTTGTGCTTTGTGTCACTGCCCTTGTTCCGAGCCTCTAACATAACACAATCGGGGTTAGCCTCAAGACGGTTTTGGCTAACATTGGACTCATCCGCTAGCTTCCGCTGCCCATGAGTGTGGCGCATTGTCAAACATACATAGCAATTTTCTGTTGCTATGTATGCATACTGTTGCAATTTTTCAACCCGTTTGAGCAATGTGACCCATGATTTTTTTTCAATATCCGTGACATTGAATGTTATGTAACGAATAGGGGTGTAATGATATTCAAATGTCATGATATGATACCTCATGATACAATAATGATAAAAAAAATGTACAAAGTCGTTCACAGTGTTGTGTAAGGCTCAAGCGGGCAAAAAGCTATGCTTGTTGATGGAGATGTGCTGCTTTTAATGACGTACTATTCAGTGATTTCCGTAACAAATTACAGACAATCACGGACAAATTCATAGGAGGATAGACACATTTCTAAATGTATTTTTGTATTGTTGAATGTGTTTTCAGCTTGAAAGACTTATAGTATCATCTAAGCAAACTCCCAAATCCATGAAAGCTGCACAGAAAGGCCTACTACACATCAGCGTTCGGCTAGGAGGGTGTTCTAATCAGTGACACCTGACAGAAAGCAATTCCAACTTCAAAAGCTACTCAGACATACATTGTTGTGGGGCGAGGTAATTGAATGAGATAAGAGGTTAGAAAAAAGGAGAAAAAGGAATGTTCGCATTGAATGGGATTTGGAGATGTATGCTAAAGCTTTGTATTAAGATAAACCATTAGTTAAATTTAAAAAAAAAAAAAGAGAGAGAGCACGTAAGCTACACAAAAAAATGGATTGATTTGCTCTCCTCAAGAGTTCATTTGCTGTGATTAAAAGTGGACCCGACTAAGTGGGGGGAAGGACTCGAGTTCGCTGGTGTGAAAGCGCCCTTCGATGCCTTCTGTCGAATCTTTGGATCAGCTGCAATTGCTTGCACAGAATGTGTCCATCTGGGCTAAGAGTCTGCATAATGCGCTTCCATATGGCCTTGTGTGGTCTACACACACTAGGAGGTAGTCTTTTGTAAGGGTTACACACGCATACATTCCCAGATTAACAATATTCTTTTATGACACAGAATGTATTTAGTATTTGTAAGCATAGAAGGACATCTGTTTTCACCTGCCTACCTGATTGCTGATGTATGAACCAGGGGTAGGAAACTCTGGTCCTGGCAGTCCTGCTTGTTTTAGAAATTTCACTCTTCCAACAGATTCAAATGATCAGAATCGTTATCAGGTTCTACCGAGCTTACTGATGTGAGATACGCACGCACGCACGCACGCACGCACACACACACACACACACACACACACACACACACACACACACACACACACACACACACACACAAAACCTTTGACTGTGTTCCTCTCAGTTTGAGAATATTCTCATGGAAGGTGCGCAGACTGTTTCTAGGTTTTATTTAGGACCGTAATATACGAATGTCAGCACTTCATACATAAGGGACATAGTTTGTCGGACAGTGACCCTCATATGTATCAGGCTCTGGCTTTACTGGCAACCTCTGCTTTCTTTATTCTTTACCACTTTATCTATGGCACAAACACCCAGAGCCACATATGTCCACAAACGCAGGTCTATTCAGCGTTTGTGTGGAGGCCCCTAGAACCCAGTGTTGACCAGCTCTGTCCCATGTTAAGCTAAACGCAGACTCAGTGCTATGTTCAATAGATGGGGATTCCACTATATAACAAGGCGGGTGGGAGCCGGGTGTCGCACACACGAAGAGGAAGGACACAAATGGAGGCCGTTGTTAAGTAGTCGTTCCACACACACACTCATTGGAATGCTGGGCTCCTTGGACGTCCTTTATAGTGTCCTCATCCACAAGGTGATGTAAACCAAAGACACCAATTGTCTTTGTTCGGTTTGAGGAACTATATTTCCTGTGGTGGTGTGGATGTACAGAGCATTGTAGTAATTGTGTCGATTTTATTCATGCACCTGCTTTATCTTTTCCATCTTTTCTATGACTTTCAGCCTTCCAAAAATGACTTGGAAGATTAGAGTATTTGAAGAATTCCTGAAAATGATCAGATGCCTGATGGTTGTGTGTTTTTATTTTTCTTTGATCAGCTGATGGCTGTGTATGAAGAACAGGAAGCCCAAGAGAGGGATGCAGCCAACACAAGCCCTTCCCCCAGCCATGATCGCTACCAGGCTGAGCTGTCTGTCTTCCAGCCAATCACGGGAGGAGAGATAGAAGTCAATTCATCAGCTCTCAAGTCAAGTGAGTATTGCGGAAAAAAAAAAGACGAGGGATGCACCAATAGCACCTTTTTCAGAACAATGACTGTACCACTATAAGTACTTGGGTGAAAACGCAAACGGGGTACATTCAAAAGAGTTTGTACGGTATATGGTGCTGTATGCGCTGGCCGTCTGAATGTGTCAGTCTAATTTTCGTGATGGGAGTGAGATGTTTTAGCAGGTATCAAAGTCATACTCAGGATGCCATAACAGAACAGTGGTGTACCTTTAAAACACGTTGCATTTTTAAACCTGTACAAACTGTGGCTTTGAAGGATTTTAAACTATCCTAGGTTGCGAAGATGCCCTAGCAGTTCGATCCAGACACTGTTAAGACAGGAAGTTGAGTCTGTTTCAGTATGGTTGCCTGGCAGGAAAGATTAGAGGTAATGTGTGGTTGTCATGGAAGATTAGGGGTAACAGCGCTCTGGAGACTATTACTGTCAGTGTGAGAAGGTCAGATGTAGACCTCTGTCTTCGACTCCTACTATAGAACAACTTTTCTCTTCCAAACACTCTTGTTCCTTTTTTGACTTTCACATTTTTGTGCATATCTTTTTCTAACGTTATATTGTCGGAAACCAACATTTTATGACCGACCAAGAAAAAAATTGATCTTGAATAGTCCCTGAGGATAAATACATGACATTTTGTCCCTTGTTAGCTTCTCATTTGTGCTGTTATCGCACTAGATATCTTGTCAAATTGGTTTTGCTTTCATTCCCATTCTCTTTCATGCTGCCGCCAAGTTGAGCCAACTATTTATACCGCTTTTGTCCTCTTCCTTTATCTGTCTTTCATTGCCATTCAATGGGGGACCGGGGGGGTTGCATTGATTATAGCATTGATGTAATCCTTACCTCCCAGACAGTCTTAAGAGCACCAAGGGTCCATTTTGTCACAATCAATAAACGACCCTACAAATATCATTTGTCATTTGTTCATGGAGGTTCACTCATATAACTTTATTCATCCAAACCTTTGCCATTCGGAACCATGAGGCTCACGTGACCAAGGTCTTAATGTACATACCATGGATTAAATGATTTTGATAAAGGAGGCTAAATGTGAGAGTAGGGAGTGTGCAGATCCTTGAAATAGCCTTTTACCATGTTGCCGTTCTCCCGTTATTTTGCTAAGCTCTCGCATTGGTAGTCCACGGGAGTGTTTCATTCATCATCTTCTATTTAATGATTATTTTATGCAGCGGGCTGATGAAATGTGCAACAGGGAGACACCATCATATGTTACCAGTATGCATACCCATATTTGCAAATCACATACTTATCAACCATTTGGACCAATGAGCACCAGCTTGTGAGAGGTTCTGTATGAAACAAATGGATAATTCTTTTTTTTTTTTTTTTTTTTTTGCATCTGTTCTTAACAGCCGATTGCTAGGAGCCAAAGCGGCTGTACCTCCTCACATTTGGGAAATACACGTTTGTTCGTTTTCCTCTTCTATTGCAGTTCATTGTTTTTTGCCAACTTTTTGGGTGAAACAATTGTGTCAGCAAAAATCTGCAATTTATTGCGATTTTTTTTTTCCTTTTTTTTTTTAAACATAATATAATGCCCTTACATGTGGGAAAGAAGAGCCACTGTTTTATGCTGTCTTCATGTAGCTTCCACCTATAGGAGTTGGGTCTGAAACGTATCCCAGATGTTGATGATTTTGTATAAAAATATGTTTGCCCCAAACTACACTAGTGATGGGAAGTTGACAAAATTCTCTTGGTCAATCCATTGATTAAATGTAAATTCTTAAATAAGATTTGTGTAGAAAATACAAAGGAAAGTGCTAGTTTGGCTCGCCTGCAGATACTCATGCTCATCAAGTGTCATTTTGTTTATGCGAATGCAGTACATAGAATTTGCACCACAGCCGAAGTCAGAGTTGTAAACTCGTTGAGATTGAATCACGTGCTGGTTTTATTCAGCCGAGTAGTGCATTCCATTATTCATAAAGTGTATGATTTGATTTAACAATTCCAAACATTGGATAGCGTTTATAATTGACCAATTCATCGATTACTATCCAATTCCTTTGTTGCAGAATGTACGGAAGAATACTCCTGTAACATGTGTCCTTGTATTTTCACAGACACCCCCCTGCTGGTGAGAAGCAGCAGTGATTCAGCTCTCGGTACTCAGTCAGCAGAGCTTGAATCCTCCCGCCAGGAAGATGCCTCTGTGATGGTAAGACACCAACACTGTAAGACGCTTCTCACGAAACCTTGATCCTTCATTTATGACTCTATATACAGTGTCAGAAGAAGAGTGGTTGCCCGCGGTCTGCAGACCTATTTTTCATCACGTTATTTCAACATTTAGCCTTAGAATCACATTTAGCATAATATTAATATATATATGTGATCATTTGATTCATGAGTACAGGACTTGATATGTTATTGTCACAGTTATTCCCTTAACATGGTTGGACATCACAAATCCAACATGATGTCTTTTGAAAGGCTCTCCATGCCTGATTGGGCGCCTGAGTGGTGAGCCTCTTGAGATCTCGCTGTGGGCGAGTATTTAATTTTTTTCCAACATCTACCGTAATCTCTGGAGAGCAACTTGTTTATGCGGTTCAGTTCTTTTGAGGGATATGGTTTGTTCTTCAAGGGGCTTACTTTTCTTGTCTTTGGGTAGCCGTTGTAACATGTTTCTGACAATGTTTAATGGCGAATCAGGTTATTGGACCTATAGCTTATTAACCAGTTGAATGGGAGAGTCTCTTGTATAGTCTAATGAACCGTGTGCTAACAATAGATTAATTAAAAAAAAAAGAAAAGAAAAAAGTCATTTAGATTTGTTCACTGGAAAGATTTACAGTGGATTTCTTTTCATTTTTTGATTTGTGTTGTTAGGGGATGCGTCAATGTGTATAGGGCACCAATAGGTATATTCCGACGATGTAAAAATCACATTGATGCGGTGGATCCGATTTACGTATTGATGTTGCACTGAAATTGGCAGATATCTGATTTCGTTTTGGATTTTTATCCACAATTTGGAGAGGTCTGATACAGACTGGAGGATACCAAATCATATTTTTCCATCTACGCTCCCTGTCACGTACATTCCAGTCATGCCACTTGACAATATAAAGTTGGAATTGTGTCATTTGAACCATGCAGTGAAAATCCAGTCATTACTTTTTTTATGGTTCAAACCCCTTTGATGAACACTTGTAATGATCAGGCATGCACAACATCATATAATGGCTGCATATAATTTTTTTTAGGCCACAAGCAGAAAATAATCAGTGTAATTGTTTACACGGAATTTTGTGTGTGCAGTTCGTGAGGGGGGAAAAAAGATTTTGCCTTCATAGAGGGTCATTCAGCTTGCTGTGAAGCACAATAACCCTGATGACTGTGAAAGAGAGAGCTAAACGAGAGGAGGCTGCTCGGCTTGCACGCAGACTTGAATGGATTTTAGCTTATCCCTCCTTATAGAACAGCCGCAGCTCAGGCATGTTGGTGGACGGCCTGCATCAATTCTTGCTCTGCTGCCAGTCTCCCCGAGGACAGATAAAAACACGTGTCTCTCTGTTCTCTTGATTTGCAAGGCACATTGTTTACACATTGTATCTTTGATCATGCTCCAGGGCCTTTTTTTTTAACTAAAGACCACTGATACATGAAAAATAACTAGATAAACCAACAATGACTAAGAATCGATTTGATCCTGGTCTTCTTATCCCAATATCCTATTTTCCTTGCCACAATGTGACATCACTTTTTTATCATTTCTCTTTGTGTGTCTCACTCATACACGTGAAGTCGATTGTCCATTTGCTCTGCCAGGTTCAGATGGAGGTAATGGTCCTGTGTAATTGTTCAAAATGTCACTTGGCCTTTCGGTAAGAGCTGTAAGAGGAAGGAAGCGATGTTCTTGCAGTGAATCCCTCTCTCTGTTCTCTCCTGTTTTTAAAACGCTCTTTTGCTTAGTGTGTTGCGCAGTGGCAGGCTAGTTACAATGTGTTAATCAGACTGAGACTATTTGCTCTCGCCCAGAATTCGACTGGGGATGGAAGTTCTATGCACGGCTTCTTTATCGTCCAGCACCTTGCTTAAAGTGCGTTTCTGTTTACATTTCTGTGTGCGTGTTCTTTCTCTTTAATCGAGTCAGTCAGTGTGGCTTTGAAGTGTACCTAAAAACAGCTTAAAAAAAAAAAGCAACACATTATTTTGGAAAAACACATTTACAGTCCAGTACTTAAAAAAAAAAAAAAGTGTGGTATACATTTATTGTTTTTATGAAGATAATATGACTCATGTGGCACTTCTGTTCTTTGATTTTTTACAAACTACTGTTTGTAAAGTTATTGGCCCTTTTTAATTACTTCAGAGAACTATTTCTCGATTAAATGAGGCATACAATTATGCACTGATAGACTTTGCAATTAATACTGTATTTCAGGAGTTGCTAATGTAATGAAGGTGTTAGTGTAATGAATGTTACCTGCCACTCCGCCACTCATTAAGCTAATATGACAGCATCTGCATCTTGGCCAGGCTAATTGTTTTTCAAGTCACCAAAGCCCGAGCATATGTAGTGTATGTGTAATCCGTCAATCACTGTCGGTGCTACTATGGAGTTCTCACCTCTTTTCATTGCCTCACTTGGATATCTTAAGTGAGGTGCACATATAATGATTCCAGGCAGCTTAACCATTTTTTTTAATGTGTAAGATGCCACACACAATAAAGGAACAAGTTTTTTCCTTACTGCTTTTACAGTATGTGTGGTGTTTACTCACAATGACCAACACTTCAAAGTACACACGTTAGCTCGACAGACTTTCACAAGCCTCCTTCTCCACACCAAATGAGCAGGAAGAGATAGCATAGTGTGACAGAACATGGAGACTGCAGAACAAAAAATCCAGTGGTACCTTGACTTAGGAGTGACCCAACTCACAAATGTTTGGAGATACGTGTCGTCGCATGAAAGATTTTCTTTTTTGCACTTTAACTAGTTTTAACTCCAATAACTTTGGCAGTTTGGCAATGTAACGTTTGTCTTCTTCAAAAAAGGCTTCTTGATATTTATGGAGATTCCCAGTTGACGCGAATCTAAATATCAAACAAAAATGAGTCATTGTGTATTTAAAACAACCTCGTAACTTTGCCTTAGGAAACTCCTCTAATTTAATGCGAACACAATATAAAATGCCAAAGATGGGTTAACCCTTTAAGCAATGGGTATTTTAACACAAGATTGTGCAGCAATGCTTGTAGACAATCAATATCACGATACTCAGAAGCATATGTTCTTTATCCTCCGTGAAAAATGACTAATAGTACTGCAGCTTCCTGAGTCAGCTGTGAAATGCTTCTTCCTGTGTCTATATAAATGTCTACACATCTGTGTCTATACCATCTTATACTCCCCACTGGTGGCCAAGGCACAAACACCACACGGACGGAGAGCAACGTTGGAACGGATAATGACATTTCCATTCTTTCAGTGGGGAATATTTGCTGCGAAAGGCTCCAGTTTATCTGCAACTTCAATGAGGATAAACATTATTTAAAAAAAAGAAAAGAAAAGAAAAAAGAAGCAATGGATGCTTGGCTGGGCAAATGGAGCAATATTTGAGCTAATTTTCATATTTAAAACAAATGTTTGTATGATTTGTCTGGTCTCCTCCTTTCCCGGGATAGGATTTTTCTGTCGCTTGTTTCTGCTTTGTTGATACTTGGTCACTAAAACGTGTTTGTGTGCTCTCTCAACAGGCTGTAAGTCCAGCTGTTGCAAGACCCCAAGTCAAATATGTTTTCAGTGACAGGTCAGTTTGATGTGCATCTTTCCAATGTTATATGAATGCGACATCCACCTTCAAGTAAAATAGCTAGTTAAGTACTATCTATATATATCGAATATCCAATTGATAGACACAACTTATGACCACTTGCACAGTATTATGATTTGCAGTCAAAGAGGAGCATCAAATAAATTTGGCTAAAATCCAAAACCAAGTTGAATGGAGAAGAAAGGTCAAAGTAGCCTTGTTCAGATGGACGTGGCCTGATTATCCATTTATTGTGCAGTTATGAAAAGTGTGCTTATTTGTCTTTGTGCATGTTTATGTTTTTGTGTCCTACTTGGCCATCTTCATTCATCCTCTAATGTAGATCAAGGCCTTTAAAGCCACAGTTAGTATAAAGCTTCCCCATCATTAGCCCACTACAAAAGAGCAAAACAAGGTCGCACGAAGACACACGCATAGAAAATTACCCACGGGATGCATTCAGTATCCTCCACTCCAAACGCTAAATTGGGCAGCTCTCATTTGTACTCAAACATGTAGGGTTGTTTTGCAAGGAGTAAAAATATCCTGTCTGTTCGTCCATGAATCCCTCCATCCTACCGAGGTTACTGTTAGTTTTGTGGGTATATTAAATATGTATATAAACTTCTCTGCAGTCATAATAATTTGATTTATTCGGGATTAATCTGCATATTTCCACCATTGCTTACACTCATACACGCTCAAACAAGACAAATCTCAGCATGAAGTGATGTCTAAGTGATTTAGTGGTTTCTGCGCTTGTCGGTGAAACGAGCCTTGAAATTGCAAAAAATCATAAACTATGGACCAGGACTACGGCTATAAATATTAGAACTGTAAAGTGTTCTTTAAATCAATGTTTATGTGTTTGATGTGCTGCCAGAATGCATGCTTGCATATCTGCGCATCACCTACTGTAAGTACAGTAATAGAGTATCATCATTTAAATCACAGAACCAGGAAGAGGATGACATCACATTTGAATAAAAACGTCATTTTTACCCGGAGGATGAGATTTACTGCAAATTGTTTTTTGGAATGACTTTGATAGTGCCACATATTTCCTTCCTGGGAGCTGTTTCTGGAAAAACAGGCGGGGAAGGTCCGGAGTGCTTTTTAAAAACGTGATTCAAAGTGATTGTTCAGATTTGATATGTTATCACGTCCCTTAAAACAAACAGCTAGTCAAGTTTTCCACACCAACCCATTCCCTTGCTTTGTGCTCTCATGCTGGAACAGGAAAGGGTTTCCACAAGTTTGAAGTTTAATTAGTCTTGAATTAAGATGAAGAGGAACCTAAGTGGCAGTACACATATTTTTTATCTTAACGGATTAATGACATATGACACCCATGTGCATGCTTACCGGTACTCTTTTTCTAATGTTGGTGAACTGCACAGAGCCCCACACACATAAACATATCTCTGCTGACAATCGCAAGTCTCCTCCCTTAAACTAAATGCCACTGGGCATCCAGACGTAAAATACAAAGAAGGAAGAGGAGTCGAAGAAGACAAAATGGAAGAAGCTAAGCTAACGAGCTAAATTATCATCCATTTCTTGGAGTATAATTTGTGGTCGGCTAACAAAGTGTTGTCATCCGTGTTGACCTTAAAGTATTTCAACATGGCTTACATAGTTTCTGGTCCACCTGCTTAGAAGGTATGTCGGGCTCATGAAGTAGTGTCCTTGTTGTCGTGTCGAAGCTTTTTTTAAGTCCAAGTACGAATACAGATGTACAGTATTGGCACTGTTCCTGGTATCGGTCCGTATCCAGACACATTCCTCTTAGGTACATTCTACTTGCAAACCCTTCTCCCATGAGACACGTTATATACATTTTCAGCACAAGCGGTTGCTCCTCTATTCATGTCTGGCCACAGCACAAGCTTCACTGAGCTTCGGAATTGGCTGTCGTTCTGTTTCACGTCATAATCAGAGTCCGTGACTCCGCCAAACTTTTGATCTCACACGCACAAGGATTTGCTAGCGGGACTATTGAACAACTGTAAAACTTACTCTTGTCGGCCTGATGGATTTCCGAGCACATCAGCGAGGTTAAATCACTCCCCACGCCGCGGATTTATTCGCTCAGGATAAGAATTTTTTTGGAGACATCTGAGAATTGAGCGTTTGCTGACTTTTGATCGCAAGAGAGGGAAAATGCTAAAATGTGTCCTGTTTGTCGCTAACTCTCTGCATGTACCTCACTTAAGGGTCTGGTTCAGTCAACAGTTGAACTATTTATTAAGAGATGTGTCCCAATTCCTTTGACCATATGCTGTCCCTATGTTGCAAACTACCAAACATTCGGCTGTCAGAAATGCCCATGACCTTGGCAAAAGATGCACTGCAATGGCTCCAAAAGCAAACACCCATGAATCCAGCGATACACCCATCAAATGTACAAAAGTTCGAGAATATCCATTTCAAATATAAATTATTCCTTCTTTTGTCTTTTAATTTGTATTTGCATACATTAACATTTTTGCATAGCATTAACATTTTTCCTGCTTTGCATTCACTCTGCTCCTATTTTGTGGGATGCACTTTGAAGATCAGCTTGTAAAAATGTGGGAGTGCAAAAGGAGAATGATCCATTCAATCCATTAGAAAATAGATGACAGGATGAAAATGCTCGGCTTTGTAATATGCATCCTTTTGGGGGTAATTTCTCCTCTGTATGGATCAGCCTTTCATATCAAGCATCAGTGAAGTGGCAGGTCGAGAACACCTGCTCTTTTCATCTATGTGCGTGCGCGCGCGTGCGCGGCCTTTATAGTCCGTTGTCCTTTTGCATTGGTCTCCTTTCTTTTTTTTCACCCAATTTATTCCATCACCTCACACCATTTGTTTTTTTCTCTCGAACATCCTAAAATCAAAAAGGAAATGTAAATGTATCCCAAGTACTTGATTCTGTATTTTGGTGAGGCTGTAAGAAATCAGACAAGAGCTACAGGAAGACATCAGAGGGTCTTTTTCCCCTTGCTTAGATTAATACTGTTAGCTTTGTTTAATTAATTCAGTGTTTCCCTCATTTCACTTCATCTTACAGTCCTCACTTGCATCCTTTTTCCTTCCTGTGCTTTTTTTTTTTCTTTACTTCTGTCTTTATGTCATTCCCAATATTTTTTTTACCTCATCCTCTTCATTAGTTTTTAGTGACGGTATAATTCTCAGTGTCGTTTTGTGATCATATGTTAATGGTTTAAAAAAAAAATCATCACTATTTATTAATGTAAGACTTCTACTCGAAGGTTCACCTCAGGTCTCACTTTTCCATAACACATGACGCATAGCATACTGTAACATAAGGATGAGCTTGAGTCAGGTGACTTATTTTCCCTCCCTCACCACATTTGTTCACCTTCTTCCTTTCACCTTCATTTTCTCCGATGATCAGGACGCACCAGCTTTATTTGTTGATACCGTTTCTGGAAGAGAGGCAAGAAGTAATGAGAATGTGTAGCTTTCATCGCTTGCTGTTTCCCACCCACCATGATCAACAGTCGTCTCTCTGAATTCTATCATCATACCTACTGCTCAGTTCAATGGGTGCTTTGCGGATGGGTGGAGGGACTTAAAGAGAGAGAAAGACAAAAGGACATAATTGAGATTGTAACTACAGAGCACAGAAATAAGTTGATGAAAACTTCTCTAGAAAAAAATGCCTACACAGAGGGAGTTGGGAGAAGGGCAGGCAGGGATTATTGGCTGCGCTCTGATAGATAAACGAATCAAAGAAAGACTTCAACAAGCACTCAGTTTTAAACACCGACGCAATATGAACCAGTTTCATATCCAATTGAGAAAGACATATTCATAGATGACAAACAAGGAAGAGATAAGAGGAACACAAATTGTTGGCTAATTTCCACATGCAACAAGTGTGCTGTTTGGATGACTTTCAAAAAAAAAATCCCATCTCTAAAGAAAAGGTTTGTGCTCATGGATTAACTTCACATAACATCCTTTCAAACAATGAGGACGTTTGTGAAAGTAATGTATCAGTCTAGCACGGTATTAACTACATGTATGAAGAACACTCATTTCCAAGGCAGTTACATCGTCATTCTTTCATGTTTGAAATTTTTTTTCATGTTTCCAATACATGGATTTGTGTTCAGTTTCTTTCAAGGAAATTGACATCATAATCATTCATATTTATTTTCTCAATTTGTAAAGCCTGACCCGAACAGTGGAGATCCTGGGAGGGGACAGTCCTTTGGGAATCCACGTGGTTCCGTACTGCTCATCGCTCAGTGGACGGTGAGTTATATACTGTACACACAAACCTAAATACAAAATAGGCTTTTCGTTGTGCTTGTCATTTTGGTGTGGACCGATGCAACTGTGATCAGTGGTACCTTGAGTTTCATTTCTCTAAACAGTCGTACCTCAAATCATTTTAACCATTTGAAATGAATGCAAATGGCATCAATCCATTATAGTTGTAACATAATTAAATAGAATGTAAAGAATTTAACCATTTTTGTTGTGTGGTTCCCTCCGGTGTGCACATCTTCGCCACTGTGGGGCATTATAATGCATGCATATGTATACACATGATTAAGACAGTCACAGATGCTCATTAAGGTGCAATAATAGATGTTTTTCGTAGATCTTAAACAAGCTATGCCAGTGAGTATTGTTACTGTCTATTGTCTGTCTACATTTGTTGCCGCACAGTTTGTGTTCAAATATTCATCGCTTAAAGGATTGTTTGGCGACGTTAATGCTAATTTTGTTTGCCTGTTGTTGTTGCATTAAGTGTTAGCATAATATTAGCTGACTTTTCCCCCAGACAGTTATTTGGTGTTTGGTAAAAGTCTTTGCTTTAGTTTTTGAGTAAACCTCAACTCGGTGTGGCGACAAACAGAATAAATCAAGCACTTGGCCTTTTATTTTTTTGTTTTGTAAAGAATTGTTCACGATCTGCCACACTGCTGCTTGTTGTGAAGTTCACCGTTGCTGTCAGGCGCTCATAGCTCTAATTTTCGCTCACAACTCAAGAACACAAATCTGCTGAGCACCCGAAAGAGGGTCACTGCTAAATCAAGGTCCCACTCCATATGTACGGTATGCAGACATATAGATAGAAAAACGATGTAAATGGATCAGGGCACTCTATAATACATTTCACTGGTAACTCTGCTCACAGGTCTCTTGGGTTGTATATCCGCGGAGTGGAGGAAAAAAGTCGCTCCAGTAAGGAAGGTTTGTTCCAGGAGGATGAATGCATTGTCAAGATTAACAACACGGACCTCATGGACAAGACGTTTAGCCAGTGAGTTTACTCCTGCCTTTGTTTTTCAGGCCTAGATTAAACAAAAAAAAAAAAATCCAGGGCCATCTGATTGACAATACTGTCGTAATTTAGCAAGCAAAAGGACTAGCTAAATAATTTAATAAAAAAATAAATAAAATAATGCAATCGAATGTATAAGGAAGTTATCGTATGCAAAATCTTGAACAAAGTCGATACACATAGATTTTCGGTCTGGTCTCTCTTGCTGTTACCTATGATGTCGCCTTCCTCTTGTCAGAAGGCTAATTTAACATGTAGCGGCATCACAGAACAATACAAAAGACTCTTGGCAGATGTCTGAGGGGTAATCCACGGAGATCACTTTGTGTTTCTACTCATCCCCATTCTATTACTTTCAGAGAAGATTTGTTCAGGACTCATTTGAGACTTGATGTTTATCAGTGTTTATTACATCAGTGAAGTACCCACCAAGTAGGCTAACTTGGTGGGATTTGGGGATCTAACCTAATTATACACATATGAATGTGCCACTGCAAGCAATACATGGACTAGATGCTTGAATGATTACATTCCATTAATGTAAAAAACAAACAAAAAAAAAGGGTCATCCCTTTTAATTTAACTTATAAGATGATTATCCTGGGTTGCATTGCAAAAAAGTAGGTCTCCATCTGTACATTTTCTGCCTTTCATATTGAATTTGACATATTTAAAACACAATGTTTTTAGGGACAGATGACATCGCCCGAGAGTTATCCTTGAATTCGGGGTGTGGGGTTAATACAGGTTCTATAAGTGCATCTTACTAAATGATACGGTTGAAAACATTTAGTTCGTAGTAGTAGTTTAATGCATGAAGGGAAACTCATGTGATGTCGTTTCACTGCACACAGAAAATATGTTTTTTATAATCTTGGTAATAGTTTAATTTTTTTTTTTTGTGTAGGACGGTAAGGATTGACCTTTCAAAAAGTATTTTCCTATGTGTTTAATGAATCTAATAACAGCAGGGCTGAATGTTTTGGTATTCGGATATGTGAAAATTTGAATCAAATAATTGGCTATTCAGATAAGAATTTAAAAAAAATGCAAAATTGCTTTGTTGAAGATACAGATGACAAAAAAGACATTTGGTCTTAAAAAGAAATGGCCAGCAAGTTTTCATTTTACACCCAAATTTTAAATTTCTCTCTCGTGAGCCAGTGTGATAGTTTAGACGGATTTCTCCCAATAAATTTTGGCCTATGAGACAAAGTGGTGTCAGGATCACAGTAGTAATATTGTGGCTACACTTGAGTAAACCCTCTTTATTAAAAAGTGATCAGTGGGAATGGCAACTGTGTCAGGGTGTCAGCAACAAAGACTGCAGTCCTTTTGGTCTATTAACTTTAGTGCTGCTAGCGCGGCTAGCGAGGCTAGCAGCACTCAAGGTAATAGACCGAAAGGACTCTGCATTACAGTGTCAGCGTAATGAAGTCGTTTTCTTGGCGCCCTTAATTAGCGATTGCACGTTATTGCAGGACATCGTTGTGCAGTTGTTTACGGTAGCAACAATTTGTGACAGCAATAAACGACGCACCAAACGCAATCTGGAGGAGAGTCAAGTCAGCTGTTACGCTGCCACTTCGAAATAAAAGCGTCATAGGCCATTTCAGCCTTACTTCTGTATAACATGTTTTCTCAAAGTTGCAAAGTTTTCAAATTCAAGTCAAAGCAAAAAAAAAAAAATAAGATGCCACATCTGCTTCACAGTACGGTTTGAGGATTATAAATAATTACACATGTCCGTCATCAAACACTCTCACTCACCAGTTTCATGTCAAAAATCCATAATTTGATATCAGTTGTTGGCCTGTGAAGCTGTTTTTTTTTTTTTTTTTTTTTTTTTTTTTTAACATTGTTCCTTGTTAGTGGCTGCCATGTGTAATTTGTATATTTAATCCACTCTTTCATCTGCAATGGTACCCTGTTTATTTTGATATTCTGTATTTGTCACTATTCTCCTCTCCCAGAGCCCAAGAAATCTTCCGGCAGGCAATGCACTACCCCATGGTCACTTTGGAAGTACTTTCCTCATCCAACCGAGAACGCTTTGAGAAGAGTCTGATCGGTCAGCTTTTTAGCAACAATTCTAGTCCTGACAGCAGTTCCCAAATTCCCAAAACCAAAGAGCCACCTCCGCCTGTCAAAGCCAAACCTGTGTTCAAGCCTCCCGAGAGTGCCATTGTGAGAGTGGCAGAAGCTGCTGGCTCTCTGGAAGCTGCTGTGAGTCTTAAGCACATCCAAACTAACGTTATTTCACAATAACATCCAAAACATTATTTAGAAATAACTAAATGTTTTCAAATCACTACTTCTACATTTAATTGAAAACAGTGAACACCCGCTATTTGTGGAGGATAGGGTTCAAAATGAATTTATTTTATCAGGGGTCTCCTAATTTGTGTCCTAATATTGTTTTGAATTAATGCAAATGCAAATATTTTTTTCTGCTATTATTCCACTGCTTTTACTGACTTAGATTTTCGCTATGATACCAGTTCAGTTTGGTTTCAATCGCATACTAGAACAGAGATACTGTATCGTATTGAAATCAGAATTTTGATACCAAGGCCACAGTGGTTTGTCTTACACTACCTCTTTGTTTTGTAATATTTTAATTTCAATTAACATTGGAAATGTTGATGTTTCCCATATGTTACTTATGTGCTTGAAAGTCACCAGCCATTTCAATATCCTGGCGCTTTGGGAGTGTATGTCCTCTGCAGTCTATACTGTACTGCTATTTGATCTTTGTTACCACTGTAAACTAGTTAATACTGTTCTCTTTTCTGTCTACCTAGAGATCTAAAGGAGGGAGTGAGAGCTCGCTCTCAGAAAAAAGCCCTGCCCTGTCCAGTCTGATGGCCAGTAAGAAAGGAGGACGCAGATTAAGAATTGACCTGAAGAAAGGTAAATTATACCACATATTTTTGTAACATGGATTTACATTCATATCCAAAATGTTTTAATCCGACTCTGCCTCTCAGTACTGATATACGAGGTGGGGAAAAAAAAAATCTGTGATATCATATCAAACGAGGACAAAAAAAAAAAACAATTGTGCAGTCAGTCCTGTAGTGTAAAATTGCTTGTTTAATCCTTGTTTCACAGTTATAAAGAACTTGATTCTGTATGGGCCATCTCTGCCAAGTATGTAAACACATAAGGAATTTACTTTGCCAGTTACAACCAGTCCAGAGGAACATGAACAAATCAATGGCCAACCTTGTAGTCATATTATTGACCACAGCTCATATATTTCAGGCCTTCGATTGTATAGTGTCGCTGTTTTTTTTTTTGTTCCCTCTCGTGCCCTTTTCCCTTCCTACTGGAGCTCTCCTTCCTCTCTCCATCTTCTTGACTTGTTCTCTTCAAGGTCTATTAAGTCTCTATTGATCTGTTCATTTCTGCTGATATGAATTCATAGCAGACCTAACTGCTGACTTGGCACTGCTAAAGAGACCAGACTAAATGAGGTCTATAAAACACACAACCAGCCTGTGTATTGGACTCTGGCATTCATGTTTGAGTGCTTTCTTACATATTGCGTGTGTGTGTGTGTGTGTGTGTGTGTGTGTGTGTGTGTGTGTGTGTGTGAGAGCCTGTTTTTCACTGATTAGTATTTTAATCTTCCTCACTTCTCTTTCCAGAACATTCACTCTTCTGCTGCGTTAGCCTTATACCTCATTTCCGCTTTACTGTTCTGTACTTCACCCCCTGCCCCCGCACACACACCTGAACTCTTTGCAGATACAAGCCACCTGTTTAAAGCAATGCACACACTGACTTCTGTCTTATGTGCAGCACAAAGCATATTGCAACATTTGTTTGGTTCCAACTCATGCTGAAGTAATTTTCTTCCCCATGCGGCCTACGTGTGAGTGTTAGGTTGGAAATGAAATGTGGTCAGTTGCATTGTATAGCTTGTGTTTGCGTTCTTGCCCAGCGACAACCGCGCGAGAATACATCACAAACCTATTTTGTTTGCTCTTTTTGGGCCACATTGCTCGAGTATCACAAAAGGCCACATATGGGCGGCGACGTCATACTGTCGTTAGTCAAAATTCGAACTCTTCAAAGGTCTTACAAATTGGGATTTTTACGATCGACCTCAAAAGTGACACAGAAACAACTGATGAAAGTGTCAACCTATGGGACATTGCTCACACATGGGAAAGTTGGAGCGGGACTGGCTAACTGCTATTGTCCTGTGGTATTCAAGGCAGAATGTTCTTGGAAGCATGACTTATTTTATTGCATGAATGGCAGTAGATGGGGACACAGCTTTATATAGCTTCTGCAGTCTAATGTGGGAGTACTTATTGGTTCTGCCTTTGCCTATATTTTACTGGCTAGTTGAACAAAAAGACATACGTATAACTAACAAATAGTTGCTGCATGACGAATTAAGTAAAATTGGATAATTTCCTGCGGCAACCATGATGATCTGTCACAGACTATGGATAAGAATCACTCATTTAAATGATTGCTTGTTTAATTAACATAAGTTTGAGTTGAGTATTTTTCTAAAAACTTTTTTCCCCACTTTCAATTACTTTAATGTGACAAAAAGTGGACAACTAGTGTGACGAAATGGACACATACCGGTGCATATCTATACATATTCTATGTTTAGATCTATTTTTGGTTTCGTGTTCTGTTAGTGTTGTGGAACATGCTGTCGTTCATGCGGACGGCACAGAGTCAATTTCCGGCGAGTGCTCTAATACCCAGCCATGGCCAATCCCAAACCCAGTTACCAACAACAACAATAACATAAATAAATAAATAAAAATGGTGGGATGTGTCAAGAGCGAATACAGTGTGAAAAGTGTGCCAAACAAAACATGCAAGTGAACAACTGTGACAAACCGTGATGGGACAACCCGAAAGTCGCAAGAATTGTTTTTTTTTGGAGTAACCAATATATTGTATGTCCATGTCACTCACTGTTCTAGGTTCAGAGGGTCTTGGATTTACAGTGGTAACTAGAGATTCGTCAGTTCATGGTCCTGGTCCAATTCTTGTCAAAAACATTCTGCCACGTGGGGCGGCTGTGAAAGATGGACGCTTGCAATCAGGAGACCGCATATTGGAGGTAAAGATAATCATCAGATCAGAACTTTTTTTTTTTTTGCTCCAATGTTAATATTCCTGATATTTATGGTACCGTATATTTAATGGCTTCTTTCTCTCCAGGTAAACGGTGTGGACATTACAGGTGTCGGACAGGAGGAACTGGTGTGCATGCTGCGAAGCACGCGGCACGGAGAGAGTGTGTGTCTTGTGGTTCTACGACAAGAAGACATGTTTCTACCCCGCGAGATGGTAAGGTCCAGTTAATGCTTTATTTGGAGACCCTTGGTGACTTCCTCAAACCAATCATAGTAATAATATCTTTCTCATCAACTATTCCTTTCCATTTCATGTCATATAGTGGTTTTCTTCCTCTGATTAAAGAGTCACTCTTTTCAATCCTTAACAACTTGTGCCTTGATTGTTGTTCTGGATGACGACCAACTCGGCAGCTCCTAGGAGAAAAAAAAATTCTCTCTCTCTCTCTCTCTCTCTCTCTCGCTCTCTCGCTCTATATATATATATAGTGGCATTAACTAATGGCATAAGAGATGCCATGTGATTGTGCGGTGCATAGTGAGCGCCTCACATTGAAGGTAATTTTGTTACTTCATCACCGGTGATTTACCAATTAATAAAATGCACATTCATTAATTCTCTTTCTGATTTTCAGTCTGTCTCTTTCATTTTTTTTTTTTTTCTTGGAAAATGTTTTCAACTTTGCTGTGAGACCTGACATCAAATCATGCGCTTTTAATTTATATTTCACCCAGGGCTTATTTCAAACCATTTCGAGGCAACAAACAACACATACAAATGAAAACCATTATGAATCATAGAATAGAATTCTTCGGCACACTAACCCACAATGTTAGATAAACATTTTGATCAAGTTCACACGCTTGTCCTAAGAGTGCAACTCCATTCAGTTAATGAGTAATACATCTACTTCAGAGCTGATTTTCATTTGTAAGGAAGTAATTAATTAATATTCCATTAACACTGTATGCGACAGTTCGAAAAGGCCATTTTTTGCACATGTAGAGAGTTCATGTACCGTGACACCCTTTTGCTCTTGGTGCATCGGGCATTCAATTATTTCAGAAGCTCTTATTTGTTCCGAGGTGGTGTTTGGCACCCAGTGCACTAAAGTAATCTCGAGTTTGGTTTCTACAAATGAGAATGCAAATGTTATCTTGGAAAAATTGACTGTGGTGATTATTTGAATTGGAGAATAAGGCAGATCAATCGATATGGCTCCGGCTCGACGGCTTGGAATTGAGGAATGAATGTGAAAAATGGATGGATTGACTCTCTATTACAGTTAATCGTGAGAACTGATTAATTATTCGGGTGAACTGCAATTTCTCATAGAATAGCTTAGCTCAGCTTGAATATGACAATAAAGTAGTAATGCGTGGGTGTTTGTGTGCTTTGGACATAATTATTTAGTGACCGTGTATAATCAAGGATACAGACAAACAGGGCACAGAATAGAGAATTCAACCATGATTATGGTATCTTTTTTTAAAAATTTTTTATTTTTTAAAATTGACTACATTGTTTGTGACTCTGGCCAAGCAATGAGACTACACAGGAATAGACCACGTCTGTGTGTTTTTGCTCAACGCTTTAAAGGTTGGACGGACAGTCTCACAGTTGAGAGTTGCTTTATGAATTTAAAATGCATGCAAATTATTTCGGTCTCTTGGCAGTGCCATATTTTCCCGATATCAGGTTCTTGCCAAAATAGATGTAGTTAAAAAGATCAAAAGATGCAACAAAGGTAACCGCAGCTAACGGCACTTCATATAACCCAAGTCGCCTCAAGCATTAAGTGGGCAACAGGTAGATGTCGGAAAGGGTGTTTTCCAGTTTTTCTGAAATTCAGATTTATAAACCATAATGATTGACAGATTCATGTTGATCAGGGAAAGAAATGCCAATACGCTGGATGTTGCGTAAGTGTACACACCTCCCACTGCCTTTTTTTCCCCGTTTTTTTGTGCTAGGTAGGAGAACAAGTGTGTTGTGATCATGAGAAAAGATTATCCCGTTTGTGAGGGGAATGAGTAACATCATGTAAAAAAAGCCACTGATGTTCAGCGTTAGCCATGCATTGAGTCAGTCACGCAGAGAGCAAGCACTTTTCTTAATTGTATATCTGTTCATAATTTTGCCTTCACATCAGTATTGTTTTTTTTTTAATCGTTTAAGGTGTCACAAAATCAAAGATTAGAATCAAAGTTAATGTCCTGCATTTTTAAAACGTTCATTTTCTCCACTTTTTGGTCCCAAACCATTGTTCTTCGGTCAAAACAACACATGTTCTACTGTTGATTACCTAAGAATGTAAAAAGTGAGAAGCAACCATTTTATTTATTTATTTTTTAAAGAAGGGAGTGTATTTTGCTTTGAAAACTGCTGGCAGTGACTGAGTTAATTGTAATTGCTAGTTCATGGCAGGTTGGTTGTGTACGGGAAATTGAGCCAGAAGAAGAACCACGATGAAATAATGGATCCATCTTGTCGATCTCCTCCCCCATCACTGCTGATGTTTCACTTCAGACCACCATCTGGTGTTGTATGTTAACATCTGCGCTCAGTGGAGTACAAACACATTACTATATTTGTACAGCCAAAACACACACTGGCACCCAGTCACCTCTTCCGAAGCATATCATCATGTTAATGAACACAATGTACAGTATGTATCAACCCCCATGCCGTCCGTCTTGCTACCAGTTCTGCATCACAATTATTCATGCATATTACATTTCAAGAATGAAGAATTCTGCATTTAAGATGGCTACCACCTTGAAAGAAAAAATAAATCCACCCAAAGAGAGCTTCAAAGGTATTGATTACACCAGATGGACCCTAAAGCATATCCTGTCAGTATTAAGACGACATATTGAGAAGCAGCTTCATTCTGCTCTCCCATACCTGACACCACCCCTGTGTTTGCATTGGTAACGTCACCATTGTGACCTCATACAACCGTCTTTATACATTTCCCCATCTGCTGTGCCCTCAGAGACTTGTGTGTATGCACATGTACACATCAACACACAAACTCCAAGGCAGCTTAGTGTCTCTGTTGGACTTCCCGTCCTCTCAGGGGGATTTCAGCTGAGAATAGGTCTCTTTTCTTTGTTGTTTCTTGTCTCCCCGTATACCTTTTTATTATCATTTTTATCGTGGGCTGTGTTGTAGACATTTTACATGAATAAATGTCACACATGGACAGCACGGTAGGTGACTGGTTACTCATGTGTGGAGTTTGCATGTGTGTCCCACATTCCCCCCCCCTCCCCCTCCCAAAAAAAACATGCACGGTATATTAATTGAACGCTCTAAATTGTCCCTAAGTGTGATTGTGAGCACGAATGGTTGTCTGACTATGTGTGCCCTGCGATTGGCTGGCAACAAGTTCTGGATATGCCCCGCCTTCTGCCCGAAGACAGTTGTGATGCGCTCCAGCATGCCCACAACCCTCGGGAAGATAAGCAGTTCAGATATTGAATGGATGGAAGTGTCACACAAGTGTAACAAGACTTTAACCACTATTATCGTTTCAACAAACAAAGAAGTGTTAACAGTATGTAATGAAACACCATGAAGCACCATCGTTATTTGCTTGAGGTGCTCTTTGGAAGGTTCCAACATATTTAGCAGACACATCCTTTGGAAAGCAAAAAAAAATCTTCATTGTTTTGGTGAGGTCATTTTTAAATCTTAAAAAAAAAACTGCCCGTTTTGGCATACAAACCTTTGTCAGGGAGTCAGTTAAAATGAAACATGACTTAAACATTGGTAACAAATGACATCCTGCATGTGGATACTGGATTCGAGGCCCACTGCGCACCAGCATACTGTATTATGTTCATTTTTTTTCATGCAAACAGCCGCTGATATCTCCAAAAACCTGTAAACCGATTCACTCGCATCTCAAGGCACCACTGTAATAATACTTTATTTCTTCTTCCTTTTGTGGTCTGCCTGCTGTTTTTGCCCTGTAGGGCAGTAATACAATTCCGACTGCCCACCATTAAACTAGTCCTGTTGGAGCCTCTAGCTTTTGGCATTTAGGTAATCATGGGAGAAGTGTGTTGAGTGATTTGACAGCAGGCGCTTAAATTGAGTAGGCACAAATGGGAAAGTTATTTCCAGAAGTTAAAAGCACAAACACTTTGAAAGGCAGTTTGCAGATGGAGGAAGCAACTGTGTTATCATCTAAATGCACCTATACCTGTGGGTAATGTTTTTACAGAATTCATCATGTCATGAGAATGCAATCCTTGCACTAAGACCTGTGGCAGTTAAGAGCCCCGCCTAAACTAAAGTGAACAAACTCCATCCATTTTCTAATCCACTTTTGCTCACGAGTTCGCGGGCTGAACAAACACGAACCGCTTCACTACAAAGTATATGTTGTATTGCCCAAATTTTTCAAGTTTTTTTCCCGTATTTCTGCCTTTGACTCATGTAAATGATTTGTGTGCGCCCGTTTTAGTTGACTAAGGTTACTGTGATTTATGTGGAGTCGGTCATGCTTAGTTTGATAAATCATAAGTGCAACAATAGACAAACTGAGACCTGTTAATGGTACATAATCCGGTTGATCCATCATTGCAGTAAGCCATTTAAATGTTAAACGACCAGCGTGGGGAGGTTCATTTGCAAACATCTTTTTCTATAATGAGATCCATTTGAGAGAGTACCTGCAAGAGCCAACAAAAAAACCCACAGGCATAAGGTAGGAGTGTTTGTTTTTTTATTTTTGTATTCTCCAGTGATTTGATCTCTCATATACAGCCATTATTAAACAACAGTTGGCCGTGAGACATACTTTATATCTCACCACAATGTGTTAAATATCTATAAGGACTCATTGCAACAGTTGTATCATTCTCTGAAATGTTCTGCTCTGTTTCTTATATTCATTTCAGACCCAAACGCACACACGCTGATTAATGGCGCTGCCTCCGTCTGCTCTTTTCTCTTAAAAAGCACTGAAGAAGTCACTAGAGGTTATGCTTATGTATTGTGTAACAAGGAGGTGGAATTAATTAGCTAGATAAACAACATAACATGCTTTGCATTTTTGTCATATTCTATGAGCACTCTCACAGCCCATGAGGGTTGTGGTCGGGGATTTTAGGGGGGGGGGGTCCTCACCAGCTGCTGAGACTGTTGGTTTAAGTTATGTACCTCAAAATATTTCTTCTCTCCCATTTTTTTGTGATTCTAGCAACATGCTGAATACTTAAAAGATTATCGGAATTAAGGATGTCGAAATAAAATAGTGTAGCAGTAGTAGTAACTGAAATGTTTCATGGTAAATGATAGGTTGAAATAATTTTCAGTTCCATTATCTGTCAGCAGTTCTTCCTGGTGTTTATCTTTTCTGTCTGGGGTTGTGGTGCCTCTTATCCTGTCTAGACACTGACACTCTGATCGGGGCACTGAGCAGGAAGGAACATTGTAGTCACAAAGAGCGTTTGTAATCCCTGCACTGTATATCCACATGAAATGAATATTTACAATTTCTGAAAGTCCATGAAACGTGAAAAGAAATGTCTTGTTGATATGACACGCAACAGAGAAGAGTGTTGTTAACAAATCTACCTAATTTGAATGATAAAAAATATCGGCAAACACATAAAATGGCGCTTAAAAATCCTTACCATTATCTTCCCTCTCAAAGGCTGTGGCTCTGTCTGCTATATGTGAGAGAATGCTCCCTGCTGAAAAATGAATGCTACTTTCTCAAGCACTAGCACATCACTTTGCCAACAAATCCTGATATGTTGGAGCCATGAAAACATAACCACACAAAGCCTCCGGTGACTGGAATAGATTCCAAACACACCGCGACAGGAGCTGCGTACCAGCACCTAGCTCACGAACAAACATGTTTCATCACAGCCGGCAGACAGGCAGCAGGGTCATTCGTATCGTCACCTCTTTGGTTGAGAATTAAAATTATGACATCACTGTTTTATAAATTGTGGCATCCATGAAGATGCATTTTCATATGTAGGCATAGCTAGGTAGCTAGCTAACGCGGGGCTCTATGCTAACTTTTGCACTAGTAGCACTGGAACTTCCAACTTTTTCAGTTGGTCACACCATACAGGATTTGGTCGCACCATTTTGGGGAGGTACAGCATGACCATATTTGCTGATGTATTGTCATGTCATGTGTGGCATGGTGGTCAACTACTTAGCACGTCCGTCTCACAGTGCAGAGGTCATGGGTTTGATTCCAGGCCGCGGACTTCCTGTGTGGCGTTTCCACTGTTCTCCCTGTGCCTGTGTGGGTTTTCTCCGGGTTCGCCGGTTACCTCCCACATCCCCAAAACATGCATGGCGGGTTCATGGAACACTCAAAATTTTCCCTGGGTGTAACTGTGAGAATGAATTCGTCTCAGGTATGTGTGCCCTGCGATTGGCTGGCAATCCGTTCAGGGTGTATCTCGCCTACTGCCCAGTGACCGCTAGGATAGGCTTCAGCACGCCCTGCGACCTTGAGGATTGAGCAGTTCAGATCATGGATGTACAGCTATTCATCGCATTTCTCATACCACAGTTTTGTAAGATGTAAAGTCTGACACGAAAACATTCTGCTGTCATCATTTACGTTCATTACCTTCATTACGTTTTCCATAATTATCTTCAATCGTATAATGTATTTATCAGCAAATCTCTGAATTCACCTCACATGGTCTTTAATTTCAAAGACCAGCCTGTTTTGTCTACACTTCACCTCGTGGGCTCTTGCCTCTTGTTTGGTGAGAGTTTCTACTTTGCTGATAAGAGGCATGTCAAATTTGTGCATCTTAGTCTCCGCTGCTTTGTAGAAGATGCCCCTGCCACAGTTCTATTTTTAAGGCTATGTGCACCCTGTGAGCTCTGTAGCCCTGGAAACCGGTCCATGTAGCATCTTGTTGAACCTTTTAGCTGTCATCACGTATTCCATTTGCAATTGCTACATGGATCATGATGGATGCCTATTATGTCTGTGTTCACCTGAGGCAGAGGACTGACAGATTATTCCTGTACCAGTTGTAGCTACAGGCGAGTTGCAAATGGGAATGATTCTGTTGCTTGGGAACATGTGCTTAGTGTACAGTACTTTGATGATGAATGTTCTGCTCTGCTCTGAACGGCTTTGCAGAATGATTAACATACACGCTCAGTTGTAGCTTTGGGGAAACCTTGTTGATGAAAAGCAAACAGGAGACCGTGAGGAACAGGCTTTTCCTGTCAGTAACATGTTTATTTTTGTTGGTTATGTGGGCACCTTGCTATGCTAAAGCTGTTAGCAAGAATTGATTGTAGCCTCACCTCACTCATCCCTCCCCCCTGAGTCCCTGACAAAGCCACACTACTCACTAACATGCTCTGTCAACAAGCTAATGTTCGCCATGACTGCTACATTGCTAGCATGAATTATTCACAATGGAGACTAAAGATTAAATGGTTTCGTTTAATCTAGATTATTGTAGTTGACAAAAACAAAATAACTAAAATTGAAAAAACGTATTTGTTCATGAAATTCAAAAAAATGCTTCAAACTAAAACGACATTGTCTCTGGTTGTTTTTCCTCAGGCGTGGTGATTTTGTACAAATCATATTATGGGTACAAGATGGGACCGGGGCTGATTTTTTTAAATTGTTTTATTCCTACACAGAACATTTTACTATTGGACTGTCATACAGACAGGTTTCACAAATACGGCAAAACGTGTTTTTTAAAAAAATATTGTAAACTGCCCTTTTACAGACAGTTAAACATTTTAATGTGGATTCTTCCATTTTCTTTCCTTGACCGAATTTTTATCATCGCAGTTTGACCTGATTCTGCGTATAACGTATTTGATTGCACATAAAACATGAATAAACTTTTTTTAAACGCATTTTTCTCACTCTTGTCAATATTGTTACACTGAGAAATATGCAGAGGGTCCTTGGTTTACAAGCACACCGACAAGGTTAGGAACAGTGAAGAATTAACTAGTTTGCACAGCGCCATGGTTAAGCGGTATAAGAAGACTCCCGCAAATCAATCGATTTAATTGTTTCAGATTTATGGCCCAGAAATATTTTGCATTGAAATATTTACTATTCTTGTGGCTTTACTACTGCCTTAGTAGTAGTTAACTTCAGGTTAGACTGACGCCATAGAAATGCTCTTTTGTAAATCATGGACCCTGAGAAAAGACGCACAGTACTTCGTCATGCAGTGGCCATGGAGGTTTACTATATCTACTCAACAGCAGAGAGTGTCAGGCATCTGTTAGGGGTAAGCCATTTTTTCGGTTGTGAGTGTTCGGTTTTATTAAAATTCTTTGTATGAGAGTTTCATTTCTGAGTATAAGACTGGACAATTGGTTTTGGCTTTCCCCTTGTAGTTTTTGTGTTGGTGCTTGAACCATGGGTGTGGTTGTGTTACAAGTGTGTTGCAAAGAAGTGAGGTAAGGTAACATGAATGTGCTTTGGGTGACTAACAGCAGATTCTTAAAAACCAACCATTTGTGTTGTTTTAATGGTAAATTGAGAATGATTCATGTCCCTCTCTTGCTGTTTTCCTCTCTTACTTTAGAAAGATGAGGGGTCCCATGACTATGGCTTAATTTTGGAGAATGGAAAGGAGCAGCTCATGTTCGAGGTGCCCCTCAATGACTCTGGGTCAGCAGGTTTGGGTGTCAGCCTCAAAGGAAACAAGTCAAGAGAGACCGGAGAGGACTTGGGAATTTTCATCAAATCCGTTATACATGGAGGGGCTGCTTACAAGGTTACTGACCCGCCGCGTTCCCGAAATGAATGCATTCATTTGAAGTTGTTTTGTCATTATTCTTCTTTAGGCCCACTTGGTATGTGTTGATAACGTTGATTCGCTGGTCAACAACAACAAACTCTGATGGAAAAAAAAAACTATATTGAAAAGATGTGCACATACATGCAAACCTTGGCCGCTCAGCGAGTTACGGCCTTTAAGATTATTGGGGAATTTCAATACACCTAATCCATATCAGATAACCTTTTGAAAAATAACCTTATTTAGTTCACAGGCAATGTTCAAGTAACGTTTTAGCATTTGTAAGAGTAAAACGAAGTAAATGGCAAAGTCAAGTCAAAAATGTAATCCAAACACAGCATTCTGATTAATTACACATCTGTGGAATATGAATTAAGCAGCAAAATCCACCTGTTTTCATCCATTTCAGGGGGCTGCCATTTTGCCTTGTACTGCCACTTGCTGTTGACTGAAAATGACACTACAGTGCCCCAGGGGTCAAGTGTAGCGACCAATCACGGCTCGCCTGTTTTCTGGGTTTGGTCATATGACGTACGCTACCTGAGCTCTGTGGCACTGTGATGTCATTTTCAGTCGACAGACACGTGGGTGAGGCTTCAGCTCATCGGTGACCCTAAATGAAAACAGTATTATGGAATAGAACCAAAAGAATACTTGTAAGCTAATAGTGCTCTTTTCACCTTTACTTTCCCATTATAAAATAGGGCTGTTGACCCAGAAATTAAGCTTATCCAATGAACATGTGTCTGTGTGTTTGTGCTATAGGATGGACGCCTGCACGTCAATGATCAGCTGGTCGCTGTGAATGGAGAGTCTCTGCTCGGACGCTCCAATCATGTGGCCATGGAGACACTCCGCCGCTCCATGTCACATGAGGGAAATGTAAGAGGGACCATTCAGCTTGTGGTGATGAGAGTTGTGAAGGTACACATGCATGAACGCACGCACGCACACAAGCACAAACACACACACACAAATTACTTTTTTTGGAGCATTTTAGTTGTGACCAATAATTGCTTTAAATGGGCGAAAATTCTATTTGCCAAAAAAAAAAAAACGCGCTTGTACTCATTTGTGTCACGGTTTAGCTAAAGCCTGTCCCAGCTGGTAATGAGCGAGAAGTGGGTTACACCATCGGACTGGCCGTCAGCCAATCACAGGGCATGCAATATGTAGACAAATAACCATTCACACCTTTGGACAAATGAGTCTTCTGATATATCTTAAGATGCATGTTTTTGGAATGTGGGAGGAAGTCAAGAGTACTCAGAGAAAGAACCATGCAAGCACGCTAAAGTTAAGTTCCTTTTCACGGGTTATTTGCCTCTTTCCACACTGACTTTTCTTTGCTTTTAACTCCATTTATACTTGACACTAGTCCCCCCTGCTCTCTTTTCTGCTCTTACCAGCTAACTGCAAAAGAACATTTGCACTGGTTTTGTCCTTGTGCTTTTGTGAGTGAGCGTGTGTGACTTGGTGCTCATCTCTCAGCTGTATCTCTTTTCTTTATAAGTCAAAAAAAGGCTCTTTTCATCCTGGCTGCTATTCAGCAGATCCACTTTGCATCGCTCTGTAGAATCTATCAAGGGCCTTGTGCACAGTGAGCTTGACTCGAATGTAAATGTTTTTTGGGTTTTTTTTTTTTTTTTTGCATTGGCTGCTGATAGTGGAGGGGAAGTACATATCAGAGGTGTTTAAATGAGTTTTATTGGACAGCGATGATATGCATCATACACAATTATGCAGATCTCCTGCGTCTAGTTTCTCATTCATAAACTGGAAACACAAAGGACAAATGAGAGGAAATACTGCCCACATTTCTTAAAATATATATTTTGGTCTGTAATTTTGTGCTCACACTTGTGGGCTTTGACATTCCCCAGCAACAGCATAATGGCAAATTTATCTCAAAACAAAAAAAAAAGGTTTCAAACAAACAAGGCATCTTCTTTGGAAGACTGGAAATGACATTATTAAATAAAGAGTATGGATCCTTTTCACAAATGGAATATTCTGTTCCACCCACCCTCACTGTATATTCTCTTTATTTCTAGCACAGGCTTCACATTTTTTTACACTTAATTCAGCCCTGTAGCTGACTCTTATTTCATCCTTTTATGAAGATGGAAAATCCAAATAATTATTTGTAGTACACCGTATGTATGCGCACAGATGAGGGGCTCTCTCATGTGTGTTCTGAAGCAGAACGTACTGTACAAAGAAAGATGATCAGTGCCATTTTCTTTGAAGTTGTCGTGGTGAATGACTGGATAGGTTTTTAAACCTGACACATTACAAGTCTGCATAACAGCTTTCATTGCTTCAGACATTTTACTGCATGTACCGTTGCTTGAAAACAAGTGCAAATGGTTCCCCAGCCCTTTAGTCACAAATATTATGTTTGCTTAAGAAATATGGCTTGCGCATACCAAATGCTATTCCACATTAACATAACAATGCTAAGATCTGAATTGTGAGTGTAGATAAGCAACTGTGGAGATCTCCTTGTCTAAACAATGAACACGCCAACCACCAAAATAAAAAAAAAAAAACAAAAAGCACAGTGGTGTCCACTCATGCGATGGATTTGGCTCTGAGCATGTGGCTTTTTTTTTCTAAATATTCATATTCAGATTTATGCTGCCAGACAATATTGACATGTTCAGGGAGGAAATGAAGGTGGTTTGAGAGCTATAACGTACATTTTTGTGTTTGTTTGAGTTCGTTTTCTGAAGAGAGAGAGAGAGAGAGAGAGAGAGAGAGAGAGAGAGAGAGAGAGAGAGAGAGAGAGAGAGAGAAAAACCATGCATATGCATATATGCTAATTAATACAGAGTTTCTGCTTACCAGACAAACTATGAATATATGCTCATTAAATTCCCAGAGAATTCTCATGAAAAAGACAAAAATATATCACAACGCAGAAATGCCTGATTTGTTTTCATCATCATCTTAAGAGGCCCAACTGTCTAGACAATTGCAGTTAGCAAGGTTGTCATTGATATGACTTTCCCAACTTTTAGTACGCAGCCTCGTTTAAGTTATTTTCGCTCTCCCTGCAACGGTGTGCACTCAGATACACTTGAACGATCGACTGGAGAATGCTTTTTCCAACAATTTTGGTTGAAGTCAAAATTGCATTACTGTTGCATTTGATTTAGGAGCCTTCATTTTATCCCTGGGCCTCACTCGCCAATAAACGCGTCGGATTTTGCGTTCACGACAGGTGCGTGACGGCTCATTTTTTTTCTCACCACTGTGTGTAGGTTGATGAGTCAAAATTCATTCTAAATGACAGGCCCTTTGTTTTTGTCTTATGTCTTTTTTTCAGGATCAACATGGCCTGTCATCCAGCTACTCATTTGACAACTCCCCTATGTTGCCTGGCTTGGTGAATCAAGTGAATGGTCCCACAGGATTGGTTCATCAAACGAACATGAACAGCACACTTTACACATCTGACGGTGAGTTAGTCTGGTTTTACTCTATGTTGTTTATGCAGGGATGTAATCATATACTAATTAAAAAAATCAGCCAATCAGCACCCTTTGAATTATTACCAGTGACATTTGGAAACAATGGCGTCCTATTTGGAGGTTTGTGTGCTTGCTGCTGTAGCATTGTTGCTTTTTCTCCATTTATATTTCAATAAGAGAAGAAAAGAACAACTAATGACAACACGAAGCCTTTATGGATGTATTGAAGATTTTTCCACTATTCTAATGGTTTTGGCGTGAGACATGGGCTGTTTGTCAAGCTCGCAAGTGGCTACGAAGTTGATTCATTGACCTGATTGGCTTTTTATGGATATAACAGACTGGACATTTTCCCAAATACCTTCCACATTTTATAAAATCTATACTATCTCATAAACTATTGTTTGTGTTAGTCTCAAGAAACTCAGTGACTTATGATAGAAATGTTTTCAATACATTGTTAAAGGTACAGGGGTTGTGTAAATAAATAGGGCTGCACCTATCAAGTATTTTTAGAATCACTTTTTCTACCGGTTGTCACTTTGATTAGGTGAGTAATCTGACAAAAAATGATTTTGCATTATTCAACAACAAAATGTGCATGAGAGGCGCCGATATTGTTGTTTACCAATTGGGATCGCCATCCTCAAGTTCCACACTGTAAAATCCTTGACTTTGAGTAGGTAGCTTTGTTGACCTGGTGAGTGACGTGGGAGTCAGCGACTGATTGTATAGAATTTGCTTTTGTGTTGTTAACTATGAAACAGTTGGCCATGCCTGGCTTCCATTGTGGCTGGAGTAGCTCGGTCATGAACGTGCTTATTCGGTGTGTATTTTGTTTGTTCAGTGAAACAATTGAAAGTATGCCAGTGGCTGTGTCTGTCTTGACCACTCGTAGGGCCATTGCAAATTTGCTTACACTATCGTAAATGTGCTGTTGTCTCACGGGAATTAGTTCCGCGTTGCAGATTTATTTTCCTTTTTTTTTTTTTTTTTAAATGTGAAATAATCCCAAACTGTGTTTTGTCCAATCTTTTTCTCCATCACCGTTGTGCCAACTAATTTCTGAGTCTGCCAAGGGTTACCGTAGTTTTAGATTTTTGTTTAATTGATGGCCAGTCTTATCTGAAAATAAAATTCAGAAGGCAGGCGATGAATATGTCAATGTTTGCATGCGAGAGTCATGCACATATTTCAAAGTTTGGCATTGTGTAATGGTGTAAGACATGTCATGTATTTTGTATTTTATGGACGATGCGTTTCTCTCGTGAAGGGACCCAAGCTTTGTAATGAGTGCCTCTATGAAGAGGAAATTACCCTAAAATGAGGGATGGGGGCAATGGGATAGGCTGACTACACCCTGAACTGGTTGCCAGTCAGTCGTAGAATACAGATATAAGTGACTTTTAATTCATAAATTAAATAACAACCCAATCCCAACATGTTTCTCCTCAACTCAACTCAAATACATTTTTGGCCCTTCAAGGAAGAGTGTTTCAATTCAGTCTAGAGTTCTGCCTCGAAACTCAAGTGAACATGATGCACTCCTGTGTTATTTAGTTTTGAAAATCATTTTGTGTCATTGAAGTAGCCTTTATTGCTGGCATTTCATTTTCAATAACTTCAGTCAAACAGAGACACCAAGTTAATAATCTAAATCAAACTAATTAATGTTTCACAGATAAACTAAAAATAACTGGGACAGGTATTGTCATCTCCTCTACATATTAATTGATGATGACGCTTTCATCTCTCCCTCAGTCCCTCTCCTTGCTTTTCATCTGGCCTGTCATTTTTGTCAAGTTTTTGTTGTGTTTCAGTTGAAGCAGTTTTTTTTTTTTCCTTTTCAAATGTTGAACTTCTTCACCTAATCTGTGTGGTGTATGAGCATGCACGAGTGTGCACAATATAATTGGAGTGGATATTATGTGCATTTAAAAAAAAAAAGTGTATTCTGTTTCTGGAGTTTCAAAATGTGGGAGTGGTAGAGTAAGCACGCTTGTGCTTGGATGTTGGAATTGTAAGCCAGAATCAAACGGTGTTATCTGTGTGTTTTGTGTGTTTACACTGGTTCTGGTAAACATGTCTGACCTTGCTCTTCAAATTCACCTCATCGACAGCACTCATCTACATGCACATAATAGTAAGGACATTTTTTTCAAGCTCTTCTTTTACCAAGTGAGTGTGTGCGTTTATTTTGAGCTCAGTGTCACCATGCGAATGAAGCATACTATGAAAGCGAAAAGGAGAGACAGGGTTCCAAAGACAGAAGGTCGGATGCAAAAAAAAAAAAAAAAAAAATGGACATCTGCTGTTGGAGCATGCTCCGAATGATTTATCTTTAACAGAACAAATGTCTTTTTCACATCAAAGAGTGGGAGGCAGTGAGAACAGATTTGTGTGCGTGTGAGGTGAAAGAAGAATGTGTTTTTGACAGTTGAGGTGATTACGGTGCTGGCACTGACGAGAAATGACTAACTTCGACGAAAACAGGAAAATGGAGTGGAAGATATGATGATTAATGGGAGCTAGTAAAAGGAATAAAAGCAAAAAATATAAATATATATTAGATTGTAAGAATGCAAAGAGAGCTGCAGTGCAGCTGCGTGAAAGGTACAAGAATGAAATGGAGGGATGAAGGCGAGTATCGAACGTGAACATGCATCTGATTATCTAAATCTGAGATTCCATGAAGGCTGTGTGAAAGCCCACGCGGTTGAGTCATATTTCGCTTACCTGGGTCCACTGTGAAAGGTACAGGCAAAATATACTTATTTTGGCTCTGATTCATTTTTGTTGAAAAAGTTCTGTGTGAAATGGACTAAAGAGAGAGATGAGCATTCAACTGAAAATCTCTCAGGGTGAGTTCCAGGTATCCTCTGTGCTTACAGGAGAACTTTAAAATAGAACTGAATTATGGGTGCAATTAAACCAGGTAAAACATACATTTGGTTTGCTTTATTTTTATTGGATGGATTTGTGTCAGTAGTCTAAGCCCTCCAAATACGTACGCGTGTACAGGCGAAACATATGTGAAACAAATGTGAACATTCCATTATGATTACCGACACCTTGTATTCTAACCTATGTGTCCTAATGATCTATATGAGGTTACAAATCATCACTCTGGACAAAAACAAGGCCTCTGGATATTTTCTGAATGACGCGGAATACTTTTCAGGATCATATACAAGTTATTCTCACATGGATGAAGAGGCAGAGCAGAATGGACATGGAGCAGAGGCAAGAAGCTCCGCTCAGCAGTTCTCCTACCTTCATGAAAGGTGAGTTGATCATTTCAGCGACTGGGACGTTTTGTTGTTTATAAAATATTGCGAGTTTGAAACAAACATGTGTTTTGTGATTGGTCGAACCAGGGAAATGTCCCCATCCCAGTCTGAACTCCAACAGCAGTTCCAGCATGTAAAGGCCTCCAAGAGCATAGATTTAAGCACCACTCCGAACCAGACACATATTGGTGGGCATTTTGAATTCTTTCCATTCTTTTCATTCTTCTTCTTTTCATTTACTGTACATTTAAATATTCTTACTTGTACATAGTATGTACAGTATATGTCTCTGAGCCACATGTGACCAATGTCTCTGCTGATATTGAATGTGCACACACTCACACAAATCACACCCATCTTGCATGGTCTTTTGCATCTAATAATTTCAGTCAGTGGCTGTGCCTCAGGCTATCAGTGCTGGCCTCTGTGATTGCCTGCATGTCCGTCTGTGTTATACACATTAGAAGAGGTTCATTTAACAAAGTAGAAAAAACAACGTAGGATACATCAATGACAATGAGGGAGATAGACAGAGTTCAGGAAAGTTTCGTTGCATTTATACAATTAGATTTGGAACAAGAGCTACTACTATATTGTCATGACAAATTCCACATGGCAGGATTTATGGACGTGGCATGGAAGGATGACATATGGCGTTTCAATTTTTGCGCTGTGGCTTCAGAGTAAGTCATGTGGCACATGAAGGCACCATCAGTTATCGCCATATTTACTGTTGTTTTAAATTAGTTTTATATCTTTGGCATGGATGTGTTTTACATGCACATATTTAATGTCATCATGATTTTACTACTGTGTACATCACCGTCTTAGGAATGGCACATCGTTGACCGAGGACCCCCTGAAGAGACCAATGGCAACAATGCCGGCGGCCCATAACCATTTGGTTTACCGGCCAATCTGCATAATTTAGCTGATTTTCTTCACCAAGATGATGATTAAAAAAAAAAAAAAAAAAAAAAACAAAAACAAAAAAAAACCCATATATTTTAAACACCATTTTAAAATGTTAAAATCCTTCTGGTCTTTGTTCCACTCACTCTTACACTCAGTCTTTTTTGCCGTCTCGTTATAGCCCTTTTCGTGCAATTTCAGCCACTCCTGGGCTTGATTTACACAACAGGTCCAATTGGGAAATATCACTTCAATGTTTTTATCAGATTTTTTTGTCTTAATCCATGTCACGTAACCCTAATTAATACCTTCACACTCAACATGAAACATCCAAAATGCAAAGATTGCACATAAACATATACCAAGATGTGACAACATGGATGTGAATGCAAATGCAGGGATATACTGTATATTTCGGTCCAGCATTGGGATGGGGGGGGATCTTGGGGAGAGCCAATCCTTCATTAAGCGCTTAAAAAAAAAACGTACCTATTCTATGTGTGCGCGCTAAGGCCAAAGCAATAAAAATATTGCCTTGTTGTAAGCGTGTGACATCTCCGTGGCAAGGAACAATGTTAAAGTGTGTTGAGTAGCTTCTTTTAGACAAAAGATGTGCTTTGCCACCATCTTGCGCCATACATAGACAATTATTAACCGGGGTGGGGAGTGGGGTAATTAATCATGGATTTTTGCTATTTGTGCCACATCGTTTCATTGGTGTGAGCTTACCCTTCCCACGATTGATTCAAATGATGGTAAGCTCCATATTATTCCACTGGATGCCCTCGACAATTATTTTTCTTATTCAATGATTGACACGCCTCTAACATACCATATTTAGACAACATTTAATCATCTATGCTTTTACTGCAGTTACTCTGGATGTTTTATAATATCTTTGTGTTTTGCAGACGTGGGTCTATGTATGCCATCAATCAGTATATTTCACTGAAAATAATAGGCTCATTATATTAGCTTAAATCAAGCTTTTCAAATTAAATGAGACATCTCAACTGCGAACGTATGCACATTTACGCTTTATCTGTCTGAAACCAAAGTAGACATGGAGTGATTTGCCAAAAATCTGGGCTGCTGCAGCAGTCATAAAAATTAGCCACAAGCTGATGTGGTCAGACGCACATAGCAATGCACAGGGCTCAAATTACATTTTGAGCTTGCTTTTGATTAGGAAAATATTTGCAGTGCACAGCCATTTACTGCTTGGTTTTTGTGGTCTCAGTGTGTGTTTGGCAGAGTGCTACCCGCCAGTTAGTGTCGTCGTTGGACCGTTTTTTGTGTGTGTGTGTGTG